CTGTGTACATCTATAGAAACGTGTCTAATACAGAGCTACAGATAACTTTTTGGGTCATTGAGTTATGTACTCGCTTGTGTTCATCTCAATTGGGTATCCTAATTTTCCTTGAGTAACGAAATAAATTGTACTCACCTCACTCAAAGTCAATTGGGTATTTTGCCATTTTCCATTAATTTTAAAAATACAATAAAGTTTAAATGTTAGTGTTTGTTATTTATATTTGATCTGTAATATGAGAAACGATAAGAAAGACTGCACGTCGTTAAGTTCATGTCCTGAAATATAGCCTCTCAATATATCTCAGTTATTTTATCTATCCACCGGTACGCAAGCTAAGATTTGACATTTTTGTGTGTCTGTATGTTAGATCACATTTATTGAGTATTTACAAAAATTAAAGCATACTTGTACGCAATAGACTTAATAGGAGTTTTCACATAAATATTTGCGTAATTTACGCAGATACGCAGCTTATCTGTACCTCTGCTAATACTTCCAAATATCTACCAAATACAGGTCATTGTGTCCCAGAAGTTCTGCAGCCCACAGGTCATCATGTCTCAATACATCTACTTTATTAAAGTCGCCATTTTAAAAGTACTTCTATAGCCTACAGATCATCTTGTCTCAGTACTTCTACAGCCTACAGGTCATCATGTTTTCAGTACTTCTATAGCCTACAGATCATCTTGCCTCAGTACTTCTACAGCCTACAGGTCATCATGTTTTCAGTACTTCTATAGCCTACAGATCATCTTGTCTCAGTACTTCTACAGCCTACAGGTCATCATGTTTTCAGTACTTCTATAGCCTACAGATCATCTTGTCTCAGTACTTCTACAGCCTACAGGTCATCATGTTTTCAGTACTTCTATAGCCTACAGATCATCTTGTCTCAGTACTTCTACAGCCTACAGGTCATCATGTTTTCAGTACTTCTATAGCCTACAGATCATCTTGTCTCAGTACTTCTATAGCCTACAGATCATCTTGTCTCAGTACTTCTACAGCCTACAGGTCATCATGTTTTCAGTACTTCTATAGCCTACAGGTCATCATGTTTTCAGTACTTCTATAGCCTACAGGTCATCATGTTTTCAGTACTTCTACAGCCTACAGGTCATCATGTTTTCAGTACTTCTATAGCCTACAGGTCATCATGTTTTCAGTGCTTCTACAGCCTACAGGTCATCATGTTTTCAGTACTTCTACAGCCTACAGGTCAACATGTTTTCAGTACTTCTATAGCCTACAGGTCATCATGTTTTCAGTACTTCTAAAGCCTACAGATCATCTTGTCTCAGTACTTCTACAGCCTACAGGTCATCATGTTTTCAGTACTTCTACAGCCTACAGGTCATCATGTTTTCAGTACTTCTATAGCCTACAGGTCATCATGTTCTCAGTACTTCTATAGCCTACAGGTCATCATGTCTCAGTACTTTCTAATCAGCCTACAGGTCATCATGTCATCCAGTCAGTACTTCTATAGCCTACAGGTCATCATGTTTCTCAGTACTTCTATAGCCTACAGGTCATCATGTTTTCAGTACTTCTATAGCCTACAGGTCATCATGTTGTCTCAGTACTTCTATAGCCTACAGGTCATCATGTTTTCAGTACTTCTATAGCCTACAGGTCATCATCTTGTTTTCAGTACTTCTACAGCCTACAGGTCATCATGTTTTCAGTACTTCTACAGCCTACAGGTCATCATGTTTTCAGTACTTCTATAGCCTACAGGTCATCATGTTTTCAGTACTTCTATAGCCTACAGGTCATCATGTTTTCAGTACTTCTACAGCCTACAGGTCATCATGTTTTCTCAGTACTTCTATAGCCTACAGGTCATCATGTTTTCAGTACTTCTACAGCCTACAGGTCATCATGTTTCTCAGTACTTCTATAGCCTACAGGTCATCATGTTTTCAGTACTTCTACAGCCTACAGGTCATCATGTTCTCAGTACTTCTATAGCCTACAGGTCATCATGTTTTCAGTACTTCTATAGCCTACAGGTCATCATGTTTCAGTACTTCTACAGCCTACAGGTCATCATGTCTCAGTACTTCTATAGCCTACAGGTCATTATGTTTTCAGTACTTCTACAGCCTACAGGTCATCATGTTTTCAGTACTTCTATAGCCTACAGGTCATCATGTTTTCAGTTCTTCTACAGCCTACAGGTCATCATGTTTTCAGTACTTCTACAGCCTACAGGTCATCATGTTTTCAGTACTTCTACAGCCTACAGGTCATCATGTTTTCAGTACTTCTACAGCCTACAGGTCATCATGTTTTCAGTACTTCTACAGCCTACAGGTCATCATGTTTTCAGTACTTCTATAGCCTACAGGTCATCATGTTTTCAGTACTTCTATAGCCTACAGGTCATCATGTTTTCAGTACTTCTACAGCCTACAGGTCATCATGTTCTCAGTACTTCTACAGCCTACAGGTCATCATGTTCTCAGTACTTCTACAGCCTACAGGTCATCATGTTTTCTCAGTACTTCTATAGCCTACAGGTCATCATGTTTTCAGTACTTCTACAGCCTACAGGTCATCATGTTTTCAGTACTTCTATAGCCTACAGGTCATCATGTTTTCAGTACTTCTATAGCCTACAGGTCATCATGTTTTCAGTACTTCTATAGCCTACAGGTCATCTTGTCTCAGTACTTCTATAGCCTACAGGTCATCATGTTTTCAGTACTTCTTTTCAGTACTTCTACAGCCTACAGGTCATCATGTTTCTCAGTACTTCTATAGCCTACAGGTCATCATGTCTCAGTACTTCTATAGCCTACACAGGTCATCTTGTCTCAGTACTTCTATAGCCTACAGGTCATCATGTTTTCAGTACTTCTATAGCCTACAGGTCATCTTGTCTCAGTACTTCTATAGCCTACAGGTCATCATGTTCTCAGTACTTCTACAGCCTACAGGTCATCATGTTTTCAGTACTTCTATAGCCTACAGGTCATCATGTTTTCAGTACTTCTATAGCCTACAGGTCATCATGTTTTCAGTACTTCTACAGCCTACAGGTCATCATGTTTTCAGTACTTCTATAGCCTACAGGTCATCATGTTTTCAGTACTTCTACAGCCTACAGGTCATCATGTTTTCAGTACTTCTACAGCCTACAGGTCATCATGTTTTCAGTACTTCTACAGCCTACAGGTCATCATGTTTTCAGTACTTTCTACAGCCTACAGGTCATCATGTTTCAGTACTTCTATAGCCTACAGGTCATCATGTTTCAGTACTTCTATAGCCTACAGGTCATCATGTTTTCAGTACTTCTACAGCCTACAGGTCATCATGTTTTCAGTACTTCTACAGCCTACAGGTCATCATGTTTTCAGTACTTCTACAGCCTACAGGTCATCATGTTTTCAGTACTTCTATAGCCTACAGGTCATCATGTTTTCCATTCATCAACAGCCAGTACTTTCTATAGCCTACAGGTCATCATGTTTTCAGTACTTCTATAGCCTACAGGTCATCATGTTTTCAGTACTTCTATAGCCTACAGGTCATCATGTTTTCAGTACTTCTATAGCCTACAGGTCATCATGTTTTCAGTACTTCTATAGCCTACAGGTCATCATGTTTTCAGTACTTCTACAGCCTACAGGTCATCATGTTTTCAGTACTTCTACAGCCTACAGGTCATCATGTTTTCAGTACTTCTACAGCCTACAGGTCATCTTTTTTCCATTACTTCTACAGCCTACAGGTCATGTCTGTTTTCAGTACTTCTATAGCCTACAGGTCATCATGTTTTCAGTACTTCTATAGCCTACAGGTCATCATGTTTTCAGTACTTCTATAGCCTACAGGTCATCATGTTTTCAGTACTTCTATAGCCTACAGGTCATCATGTTTTCAGTACTTCTATAGCCTACAGGTCATCTTGTCTCACTTCTACAGGTCATTATGTCTCAGTACTTCTACGGCCTACAGGTCATTATGTCTCAGTTCTTCTACTGCATCCAGTTATTTATTGAGCCATCTATGTTTTGTTTCCAGCAAATAGATGCATCTCTACTCAGGTTCAACACTTTATTGCTACACCACAAATATACATCCACTACCCACATGGGGGCACCTGCATGGAGGTGGTGGTAGAAAACTCATGTGACATGATCGACTGCTTTGTGTTGGAGGACAACCATTCATATACTGACCTAAAATAACTGGTCCAAACATATACAGTACCCTGCTAAGATCATATGGACTTGAAACAAGGTCAGTCATAGTGCCACCTTACCCGGATAATGTGGGCAATTCAGAAAATCATATGGGCTATTACTGATAACATACATGATATGAGACATAAACGTTTTATATGACAGTGTAATCCATGGATAAAGTTCAAGCCAACAAATTCAAACCACACAAGGTGCATACTTAGCTTTTAATAGTCATTTCAAAGGCCAGCTTTCAAACAGGGAATTAGAATAATAATCTTGATCATTATTTGCCTTTCATTTCTTTGACCAGAATGAAAATACTTCAACCTGTCATTTGACCAATGACTGGTTGACCATCATGGCCATCCAAGCATGTTTTGCTAATGTCATGGAAACATACATCTTGAAATATACGGATCCTGCTTGTGAAATTGACCAATCATTATGCTAGATATAAAATATTTAAGAGTTAGCACCTGACAATATTTCATGAGCATTACCCTGTGCATAATCATTGCTCCTACAGTAAATTGAATTCACCAATGCCCTGGTCTAGATTAACATCGGAACATCTTGCATTTGAATTATCTTTTCTTACACTCCTTAATGATCCTGGGATCCTGTTAAGTACTCTTCTTCTTGTGAATTGATCATATACTCAAATGTGAAACTGCAGCTGATTTGAAACTTAATTGTCTTCCTTACTTGTGGTAGAATTACATGTGCACTCGTTGTCACAACTTGTTGCTTGTGTCTGACAAAGCATACTGAATGAGTCAAATGACGCATACTCACCGACAGACTCTACTGGGAAGTCGAAGTGGAGCTCTGACTGCTGACGTTTACTGGACCTCAGCTTCCCAGTCATGTTCACAGCTCTCACATACTCTGTCAAAAGCAAACCAGAGTGTTAACAGGGTGGACATTAACTGCTGGTCCCATGGACAGTAGCCAGTAGAAACTGAAGAGGGCTACATCATTCCAGCTAACATCTACTCCTCAATGTGAATTTCTTTTCTTATGAAATGATAAGTAAAACTTAGATTTGTGTTCCTCTGCTTATCTTTTACTGAGTTCATCAGATACTTTCATGATATGAACTGTTTAGGTGACAGTTCAAAAGTCTGATGGCGGATTATTATCTGAATTCAGAAGATAGGTATAAGCGTCAGTGGGCTCTATTCAACAAAAGGATCTAAACATTTTTACAGTTCAAGCCAACTGATAACTCTATCTTCATATTTTCGCTCTCAAAAGAGCAAGCATCACTAAAATATATGCATCACTAACACATATGTGTAGAGCATAAATTGTTCAGTGTGTGTGTGTGTGTGTGTGTGTGTGAGAGAGAGAGAGAATGAGAGAGAGAGAGTAATTACTTGACTTTGTTTTCACGTGTGCAGTTGTATGACTTTGTGCAAATGAGGGTGTGTTTGTGTTTAGTTATATAAATAAATGTGATACCTTTCTGCTCTTATTAAATATAAGTGATATCAGTCCCGCCACTTCCCTGGGTGAGGGTTCATTATTTGTAATGGGGTTTCAGCAATAAAATTTAAAGTTTCTGATCTGACATTGAATTCTTGAAAAAAAGATGAGGACAAAATAATGTGACTACCACTTTCTTCTGATCTCAGCAAGTTTTCCCAAGAAACTTAACTTCCCTAAAAAAATAGCCTTGCCAAGCCTGAGAGACTTTGAGCAGCTTACATAAGAACCATCGAAAATCGTACTTACTGTCATAACATACCAACACTGTGTCTTTCTCCATTTGTGTCACATTAACCACTGGTAACAACTCTCCTGAAACGAAGACAAAGTACATCCAGATAACATTTAACAAATCCACATTTATAACACAATTTCACAAGTACTTCACAAAAGGATCACAAAACATGTACACACATGAAAACAGGAGGCAGTTGCTTTGGCAAAACATATATCATGAAATAAGTAGGACATTTTTAACTTCAATGCTCCTTAGGTTTTGAGGAATTTGAAAAACTATTGAAGTAGAGTAATTGAGAAAGGTGGGTTGCATGCTGAAAGGTGGCAATACTGCAGAAATTACACAGTGCCATTTAGAAAGTAGTCAAAGGTAACATATATGTTATACTTGGGATTACACTTTCTTAGTAAAGTACAGTTTCTAGTACTTTTGTTGGGTTGAGTCCCATCTGGGATTCGAACCCATACCCTCAGAGTCAGGCGTAAGGTGTAATCAAGCGTAATCCAAAATATAACATCCAGTGGAAGCTGTCTAAACCGGCACTTGTCGGGACTGAAGAAACAATCCGGTTTAGACAGCGGGCCGGATTGTAGAGCTGACACGGTTATCTCCGACTAGAAGTGGACCAGTTTTGTCACTCTCATATACAATGCTGTATCACAATAAAACATGTCAACTCACTAGTTACATGTACAACTATACCCATGGTGAACTAATATTAAATTGTCTTTATCGGCAACCATGTAATCAACGCAGGATTAATTGATGAGAATACACATCCGGTTGACTCCTTGCTATGTGCCGGATTAGACAGCGCTGATTACAGTATAAACACCTATTCGGTTAGCTCATTTCATGCAGAGATCCATAATTGACAGCTGCCGGATTGCAGAGCTTTCATAAAAGAATGATGACAAATGTACTAGCCACGGACGGGACTGAGACTTTATGCCGGTGTTAACATCATGTATGTTTTAAATACATCAAGGACAACCAGAATATACTTCACACATGTAGCGAACCAACCTGGGGCATGGAACCAAGTAAACACTTGAACCACGACCCCAACACACTAGTTTACAGGAACAATGGAGGATTTCAAAGCTCATAATGTGGATATTCGTTATATATTTCGTATTTTCAATGTCTAAAATATTTGGTGCAGGTTGGTCCATAACTGTAATTTTAAAAAGAGACTTTGGGCCCTTTAGGTTTTCATCTACAGCAAATAAATTCATGGACTCCTTAAGTCTTAAACTATGAACATAAGGTGTAAGAAACAGGGACTTCTTGTCATTATGCTTAATTTGGAACACATTGTCAACCAACAATGTGCAAACACCTTCTCAAATACAGAGAGGCAATTAGGATATATCATAAACTCAAAACATAATTCCTAAATATCTGGTTAGCGTCAAGTGCTATATGTTTTTTACTACAAACTCTGTTTCACTCCTGGGTTGAGTGAAAATACAACTACCATCCTCCACTAATTTAATAACCCCAGCAGGTTTTGTTACGCTCAGGAAATTACAGTCCCAGCTTGTATTGATTCCCAGCTGTCTTAAACAATCAGCTGCACTCTACTTCATGAATACCTTATAACTCGCCACAACAAAGATCATCAATAATTCATACAACTACCTACAGTCTTACATTTACGACCGTGATCATGGTTTCGTAAGCTTCAGCGGATTACATGCAAGGCAGGGACTGCTTGCACCTGTAGTTACTTAATGTTATTATCCCCCTAATGGGACAAATACAGAAAGACTGACGTGTGATTATATTAATAGCTTGTGTAATTCACATGGGAAGTTCATATAATAAGGTTCATCATGTATATTTTATGTAGCTTCTGATACACTCAACAGGACTACTATGAAAACTGCTCAAAATTCTGCTGATGCAGCAAAATTCGAATTCTGTATAATCACTTACATCAGGGGAGTATATAAGTAGCTTGTGATACAATCTATGAGACTACTACAATTGCTGGCAAATTCAATTCTGCTGATGTGGCAAAATTTGAATTTTGTATCACCATTCACATCAAGGACAAGGTGCACTGAAATATTCCATTTTGTCCATATGTGTGTGTGTGAGTGCACACAGAAGGAACAGGGAGTCAAATATACGATTTTCAGATGAAGGGGCAAGGAAAAGCCCAGAAATGTTGTGTATACAATAAAGAAGAAGTTGACATCCATAATATTTTGTCTTAAACAGTTTCAGAGGCCTAACTTTTTGCTGTCTGAATCCTACAACAAAATACTGTTTCGTAGTCACATGGACTGTGTAAAGGATAAATGACTGTACCTGTAAAGTCCAGATCAGTGAACCAGCTGGATGCAGAGTTGAGATTTATCACATCAAATTTCACATGATTCCTGTCAGTTCTGGAAAATAAAACAAATATTTTTCAATCATTTTTATTTGTAAATTATCATTTTCTTCTTCTCACACCAAACACACAACCTCATCATCCTTTACTTTGGCTGAAATGTGGAACTACAGAAAGCACTTACTCCCCATCCTACACTCCGCTCTCAACATCACAGTAAGGGTTTAACTCCCTCTGAAGTCAACAGCAAGGACCAGACTCCCCTCTCAACACAACATCACAGTAAGAGTTAAACTCTCTCTGAAGTCAACAGCAAGGACCAGACTCCCCTATCAACATCACAGTAAGAGTTAAACTCTCTCTGAAGTCAACAGCAAGGACCAGACTCCCCTATCAACATCACAGTAAGAGTTTAACTCTCTCTGAAGTCAACAGCAAGGACCAGACTCCCCTATCAACATCACAGTAAGAGTTAAACTCTCTCTGAAGTCAACAGCAAGGACCAGACTCCCCTATCAACATCACAGTAAGAGTTAAACTCTCTCTGAAGTCAACAGCAAGGACCAGACTCCCCTATCAACATCACAGTAAGAGTTAAACTCTCTCTGAAGTCAACAGCAAGGACTAGACTCCCCTCTCAACATCACAGTAAGAGTTAAACTCTCCCTGAAGCCAACAGCAAGGACCAGACTCCCCTCTCAACATCACAGTAAGAGTTTAACTCTCCCTGAAGACTACAGCAAGGACCAGACTCCCCTCTCAACATCACAGTAAGAGTTAAACTCTCTCTGAAGTCAACAGCGAGGACCAGACTCCCCTGTCAACATCACAGTAAGAGTTAAACTCTCTCTGAAGTCAACAGCAAAGATCAGACTCCCCTCTCAACATCACAGTAAGAGTTAAACTCTCTCTGAAGTCAACAGCGAGGACCAGACTCCCCTGTCAACATCACAGTAAGAGTTAAACTCCCTCTGAAGTCAACAGCAAAGATCAGACTCCCCTCTCAACATCACAGTAAGAGTTAAACTCTCCCTGAAGTCAACAGCAAGGACTAGACTCCCCTATCAACATCACAGTAAGAGTTTAACTCCCTCTGAAATCAACAGCAAGGACCACACTCCCCTGTCAACATCACAGTAAGAGTTAAACTCCCTCTGAAGTCAACAGCAAGGACCAGACTCCCCTGTCAACATCACAGTAAGAGTTAAACTCCCTCTGAAGTCAACAGCAAGGACCAGACTCCCCTCTCAACATCACAGTAAGAGTTTAACTCTCCCTGAAGTCAACAGCAAGGACCATACTCCCCTCTCAACATCACAGTAAGAGATAAACTAATTAACTCCTTCTGAAGACCACAGCAAGGAGAAAACTCTCAAAACGACAAGTGTGTCTTGTCACTTGTCACAGACATCAAGAGCATGACTCCCCCTCCAGACAACAGCAAGATGTCAACTTACCCTTTCCTCACACCAAAGCAGACCATGGGGTACTCCAGTTCTGGACTGATGAACATCTCAAACACATCCAACCGTGGAGGCATCTGTTCTATGTCAAATGTCTGGAACAGTCAAATTGTTTCTGCCGTTATAGCCTTTGACTGATGTTATTTAGACAGTAAAAATACACTTTACAGTCCATGTAAGCTTTTCTTTATACAATCACTAGTGTTGTTTTAAACAAGCAAAACAGAAAACATATGTATCATAATACCTCACAGATGGTTTATATCTTAATTTGTTGTTTATATACAGGTCACCCTGGGCCCCTATTGCTATGCCTGGGACCTTGAAAAACTGACTGAGAGTACCCAGGATTCACACGTAAACAGGCCACGGTAAATCATATAGACCAGCTCTTTGAAACAGTCTTCTCAAGGACCAGACTCCCCAGGATTCACACGTAAACAGGCCACGGTAAATCATATAGACCAGCTCTTTGAAACAGTCTTCTCAAGGACCAGACTCCCCAGGATTCACACGTAAACAGACCAGGGTAAATCATATAGACCAGCTCTTTGAAACAGTCTTCTCACCTTCAGCAACATGAACTTGTTGAGAGGCTCATACCACTGCATCAGGTGCACCCCTGTTGGCAGTGCCCCGCACAGGTAGCGGTAGCCGTTGTATGGATTGCGCCCCACACAGCATCGCATACATCCCCTCGTGTCTGGCACTTTTACCGTGGGCTGCAACTTCCTGTACAAATGAAAACAGTTGGGAACTGTCAATCTAAACTTGCCATACCAAAACTTTTGGCACATTGATCAAACTGTCTTTCCCAATCACTGCAAAATTATCAGATTATTATTCCTTACAACTTCACTACCAAACTCTCCACCTCGCTACCTACCACCCTCTCTCACTATCAAATACTCCACCACACAATCAAACAACCTGGCTCACTACCAAATGCTCCCTCACACTACCTACCAGCCTGTCTTACTATCAAATACTCCACCACACAATCAAACAACCTGGCTCACTACCAAATGCTCCCTCACACTACCTACCAGCCTGTTTCACTATCAAATACTCCACCACACAATCAAACAACCTGGCTCACTACCGAATGCTCCTTCACACTACCTACCACCCTGTCTCACTACCAATCCCTCCACCACACTACCTACCACCCTGGCTCACTAGGCTCCCTCACACTACCTATCACCCTGTCTCACTATCGACCGCCTCCGTGGTGTAGTGGTTAGCGCGTCCGCCTGGAGAGCCCCGACCGCGTCATACCAAAAGACGTTAAAATATGGTACTTGTTGGCCTGGCGCTCGGCATTAATGGGTACAACAAGGACTGGTCGACTCGGAGTCAGCATGGTATCTCAGTGGGCAAGCACTATAAAAGTCTGGGCTAGTACAAGCAGCTGCACATACACATACACACACATGCACATCGTCATATGAGCAAAATATCCTCAAGCATGACGTAAAACCCAATTTCACCATCAAATACTCCATCACACAATCAATCAATCACCACCAAACACCCTGCCTCACTACACACAAGTGCCCTTATACATATATCACCAAAGTGTGTATTCTCTATTCTTTACTTGAAGACAAATACATCACCATACAGTCAATAAATTGTTCATCACATCAAAAATGTAATCATTAATCTGTTGAAGAAAGGAATGCTTCAAAACTATGCAAAGATTTAAAGCTTACCTGGAAGGTACTAAGCTTTTCTGGGAATTTTTGGAATTTTCGTCATATTCAGTGAAAATCTACTTGTTTGTTTACTATGGAGCATCATCAAGTCATGCCTGTACAGGTGGGGCGTTCTCCCTGGAAACAAATCACAATAATCATGATAATAATCACTGTGGTGTCACAATACATAGGTGCACCAGAGTAGTTTATCCACTACAATGAATTTGGTTGTTAAATCTGAGTACTACCAGCAGACTGAGACAGAAAAGAACATACAATGAAGAGAGGAAAAATACCAACAACCATAATTCAAGCATTCAAAAGCCATTGCATCCATCTGCAATGTTAGGTTTTAGCATGTCATGCTATCACATACAACCAGATAACACAAAGACTGTCGTACTTATGTCTGACACAATGTATAATGTGTAGATTGAGATTAGAAAGTGCATTATATTATGCAGCATAGTCTCCCTTTCACTGTCGTAAGTATGGCATATGCTGAAGTTATGGCACATATCTAACATTTTCACTCTCATTAACATCAGATATTTCATTCCGATGTGATACCTGTTTGCATGAAGATTGAGCATGCATCGGGAGCCATGAGCTTACATTTACCAACCAAACCCACGGAAGGATGCATAGGTTCTCAGTCAATCATTTCTTAAATGGATCACCTTCATTTCTAAACCACCTTCATTCAGAACAGGGTGTACAAAATATTTGCAAGATACAGAGTTTGGACATCAGTATTCTCCATTCAAGACTGACCGTTTGGGTTCTAAGATACCATCTACAAGTTCATCATATACAGGTAGTGGAATGGTAGACAGACAACACACAGCCTGCAATGGTGTCATATTAAAGTGTAGAGTTATTCATGCATGAATGGATTGCAGGGATGGAAATTGGCACTAGTCTACTACCCCAGCAGCACCTTACTGATCATCATTTTCTACATCAGACAAATAATTGGGAGAAACTGAAGCTAATAATGATTTATCTGTGCAAAGTTTGATCTTCCTACAAGTTATTTCCGGAGAATATAGGGGTAAGCCATGACATAAGTATACTGGGACTCTCTATTATCGCGGACTCTCTATTATCACGGCACGCGAAAACATCGGGAAAGCAGAAACACCACGCCCCGCATCGGCTGTTTACATATGCAAATTACGTAAAATATATTCATCGCTCTTGAAAAAGTCATTTATTTCATTGGAATGTTATGTGTAATCGGAGAAATATTAAAGCATTCATCTTTTCAGTAAGTTCTAGAACATTTTGAAACTAGTATGACCCCTACTGCCATTACATCTACCATGAATCAAAACTTACTTCATCAAGAGCAATCCTGCGACAACTATAAGGTCATTTGCATATTTTCCGTGCTAAAAATATAACAGGAAGTGACGTATTATGCAACTTCACTCTGCACACGGCAGCAACTTGTATGGTACGTTTTAAGCCGGAAAAACAATATTTTGTAACGTTATTGTTACCTTGTATCCAAATCAATAGAAGTTTCAGATGTTGGGGGTTAAAAGCATGATGATATTACTAATGTGAATGAAATTCCTAAATATTTTTTAATGATCAAACTATTTAGATTCGTTACTTGTCTTAGTAAACGTTTCAGAGTGTCATCTGCTTGTACCGCGTGCCATAGTAAGAAAATACCAATACCGCGATAATAGAGAGTTGCTTCAATTTCCGGGTCAAACGAGACAATCGGAATTGCCGCAATGGTATTAAACGAGTAGCGACTATGTGTCCCATTATTTGTGACAGAAATAAGATTAAACATCCGTCAACTGAAAATATATATAAAATGCTAAATGTCAGTAGCCGTTCATAATCCCGATGGCAACAACATTAACTACCGCGATAATAGAGGGTCCCATGATACATGCAGATTGTGTAAATAGGTGCGGGATGAATATGCAAAGACTAAGGCGAGTCTACAATACCGGCACATCTATTGATCATGTGGACAACATCATCTACATGTGTACAAAATGAGCTTCATCAGGCACAGCTTCACTGTGTAAGGGAGGGACCCACCATTTCATATTTCGGTTAGTGGGGTCTCTCTTGAAAATAATTTTGCAGTTGTACACAAAATATAATAACTTTTCACTGGACATTTTGGATGTCTTAAAAATTTGATGTTAAACATAATAGTTTTCAAATGTCCTTATTACTATGCTACTGATAAAGGCCAATCAAACAAGTTAAGATACCGAAAGATCGCTCTTTCGCCATTCTTTATAAACAGTGGTTATACAATGACGTACATCTTTTATATTTGTTGCTTGTAAAAGTGTTGCGTAAAGGGACAGGTTGGACAGATACAAGATTATCAACATAGCCCAATTTTTGTTTTATTCTTATTTCAGGTTGTTTTTTGGCTGGTTGGTCTTGTGAACCAACTGAAGGCTTAATAGATGCATACTCCCTTTAATATTTAAGACTATTGACCAAACAAAACAGGTTACAACAACAGGGAATTAATTTTTACATTAGTCATGTTAGTTGCTTCTGATCTGATCTCTGTTAGATAGTAATACCTGTATATATTAATAAATTGCCATATATATATATAATAAATAACATCAGTATTTAAATATGATGTAAGTATATATACTGAACATCATTGAAAACGCACCACCTGTATTAGTTTGGATTTCCAAGAGCATAAATGAGCAATCGGTGTAAATTTTACATACTTTTGTAGTCCAATGATTGGTAAAGAAAAGAAACAAGAACCAATCCAGCATAACAGTGAAGTTATAATTCAGCTGACCATGAAAGAAAGATGGAGTCAAATTGGAAAGTCAGTAACGTGTATGACCACCGTTAGCAGCAACACAAGCTGTGCAACGTCTCCTCATTGAACTGATAAGTCTCTGAATAATGTTTTGAGGCAATGCATTCCACTCTTGTTGCAAGGCATTCTCAAGTTCCCCAAGGTTGTTGATCTGTGGGCGGCGTGAGAAGCGTTGGCCATGTAATGCCACAAGTGTTCAATGGGAGACAAATCTGGTGACAATGCAGGCCATGGAAGTAGAGGAATGTTGTTGTTTGCCAGAAACTGTGTTGCAACGCTGCAGTGTGTGCTCGAGCATTGTCCTGCTGGAATGTTAAAGAAGAGCGGCGTTGTCCTGAAGAATGGTGTCACGGTAGTAAAGGGCATTCACTCTGCCACGACAAACTACCAGAGCGGTTTTGTGATGATAACTGATCCCTCACCACACCATAATGCTGCCTTCACCCCACCGATCTGTTTGCACAACATAGTCCTGATGGTAACGTTCTCCCCGTCGACGCCATACCAATAGGCGCCGTCAGCATTTCACAAGTGAAAGCGTGATTTCGTCAGAGAACACAACACCATGCCAGCGTCATAACAACCACAAGCGATGCTGCTCAGCCCATCATTCGGCATTCGCGCGATGTCTATCAGTCAGGATGGGTCAAACATAAGGGTATTGACACCGTAATCCTGCCACATGGAGACGGCAAGGCCAGGCGATGGAAGCACTGACCAAACCACGTCGGCCTTGGACAGCGTTGGCGGTTCTGGCAGCCGGCAACGTCACGATCCGAATATTGCGAACAATGTCACCGATCTTGGCGAGGGTGGTAACACGTGCCTGGCCAGGGCGTTGGCGGTCCCTGGTGGTTCCTGTTTGTTGGTACCTGTTGGCAAGTCTTATGATAGTGGAATGATGGCAACCAAATCGTCTGGCAATAACCCTGCTTGATGTGCCAACCTGCAACATGCCCAACGCCCGTTCCTGTTCCTCTGTTGACAATCTTGGCATTGCAAAATAAACTTTACTTGCGTAGGTACAGCTAAAATGAGAACGGATTTTTGCCAACGGTCATTTATACCCCTAATCAGCATGTTTTACGCATGCAATTTGTGCTTTTCGTGTGTGTTGTGCATGAATTTTGTTGTCATGTGATGTGTTCCATGATGTGTTCGGGCAATCCGTTCTTTACTGTACAGCATTATTTGTTGTCTTTTGTGTTATTAACAACATTTCCAACGTTCATTTTCACTCTCAAAACAATCCTATTACCATATTTCAAAATTTACAGGTGGTGCGTTTTCAATGATGTTCAGTATATGTCCTGTGTAGCAGAGCTCCAACAAGAGGGACCAACCTGATATAGACATGAGGACATCTTTTATCACATACAGCCATACACATCGTCTTGCTTGTAGCTGAAAGTAAAATTAATCAAAGTGTCAAGGACTCATGTATTGACAACAGGTACAGATCCCAAATATGATTCACTTCAATAGGATTCTTAATACATGTGGCATGTTCATTCAATCATGTAATTGGATCATATTCTGCATACTAATATAGAAATATTTAATCACTACTTTTATCGAACAATAATACTAGCTTTAAGTCTACAAGAAGAATGAGTTTAAAGACTAATATTTAATTGTTAGAATAAGTTCCTGCATAAACACTCACCAATTCAAGTGTTGATTCATGAATCTCATTGAGATTAAGTGTATATAAACCTTCATTGGCACCTATCAAAATGTACTGATCTGGAAAAATAAAACAAATTCAGATGAATATATATGTGATCAGCACTGGCAGTGACTGTGAACTTGTACCAAAAATGTGCAAGGAAAATGATTCTATTGTGATCTTAAATGTTCAGAATTAATATGAGCTACATAAACCTGTGTGTGCACTTTTACAGCTATCACTCAATAATATCAAGAAAGTAGTTCCCAAGTCAGGGGCCACAATCAAACATATTTTCTGTATGTAAAGCTCCAAACAGGACTACATGACAAACTTCTAGAACAATCTAGTTATCTGTTTGGTCACCAAATAAGACCAAACATCGAATATAATGACAGATTTTGTGAGTGCATAATGTCAATGTTTTACAGAAAACAAAGAGTGTAGAAGGGATATCAAATAACTATTATGAACAAAATGGATTAAAATAATTGTGTTCAATACTGCTCAGTTTATGACAACAAACTTAACACCCTGTATCTGGCTTTCATATACATGTTAACTTTGAATGCAAGTCAGTATGCTACATGTGTGATGGGTATATTTTAAACTTCAGCCTGGTATATCAGAGAGCTCGCACTATATCCACCTCAACTCACCTCCAGCACATCATAAGTTGATGTCACTATACTCACCTCTGTTGACTGGATGCACCCAGCTCGCTGTACAGTTAATCTGGAGCGGACAGCCATTGAACACCTTGGAGAAACAAGCTCCCATCTGTAATGACACAACAGGTAAGTTTGGTGTCACATCTTTTAACAATCACAAAACTAACAATGTGTCAATAAGCCACTGCAGAGAAGCTGCCATTCAAAATTTTACCTGTCCTAAAATGACATGAAACAAACTACAAATATGTGAATGTGTGAAAATTATGAAAGTTAAAATGCAGTTAATATGGAATAAATCAGCCCGATCAGTGCAAGGGAAGTAACTTGCAAACATCTAAGGGACATAATCCTTGACATTTGTTGGCCAGGATCTCACATTCTCCACCTCTCTCATCTGTTAAATATATTTTCACCTTTTAAAGGTGTCATGCTCTGGGTGTGTCTAAGGTTAAATTCATACAAAGTCTTCACACTCACATGAACTTTGGGGGTAGGTGGAAGACCATTGCTGACCGGTCTAGATTGTGTCTGAAATGGAAACACACATACAATGATAATTCTATTCAAGTCATTGAACAGCATTTATAACTGATACTTCAGAAGCTGACATCCATAACATTCTCACCTTCATAATTCTACCGGTACTTTGAAAACCATACCGTGTTTATTACAAGAGTGTTACACCATGATCTAAGCAAAAATAAACAAATTTGCAATGAATGTTTTTTCATTGTTTTATAATTTTATGATAATATAAAGTGCAACTACTCCAAAAATACTTACATCTGTTGATTCTGATTGCTGAAATGGAGGATGCAAATAATTAAAAAATACATTCAGATAAACAGTCTTCAATTAAAGTATTGAAACAATCTAAAATACATTTAATTTGCTGAAGAAGTAGTCAAATATAATTTGGAAATCTATCATATTTCATTCAAAACAAGTTGTTAAAGCCATGCCATGAGACAACAACATGCTTGTCCCACCAGTCAGCAATATTCCAGATGAATCATAGTGACCTATAAACAACAGGTTTACAAACCAGTGGTTGACAGCATGACACCGATCTACTCTGGGCATGATGACACAACCTCGGCATACAATGTGTCCACCCTAAACCCTAGGCATACACTGTGACAACCCAATCTTCAGTTCTTATGACAAGTATTGAGTGTGGGGAACATTTCCTCCTTACATTTCCTGCAGGCTATCATGAAAAAATAATTCACAAGCTGAACTTACTGAATCCTTCTTGGGCCTCCGACGAGGGGGGACGGCAGGTGGTGGTGCCCCTACTGATACTGGAGACATGCCATTTTCTGTGTGGGGTAGGTCCCCATTAGCGTGTTGGCGAGTTTTGGGGGGAAGCTCCGGTGGTTTTTCATCTGTGAATTCTTGGGGTATGGTAGCATTGGGGGTGAGAGTCAACATCCGGTCGATGAGGGAATCGATGTCCGGTCCACTGTCCACCTGCTGGTCAATGGGACTGCCTGCCTCCAGCTCATGCTTCTCCATGTGACCTCCTGATGCCTTTGGGGGCTGAAGGAAAAAAAGTTATGCATAAAGAAGTGGAAGCAACTATTTGTCATTACTGTGTAGGTCATTCAAAACATTTAAACAGTCTTCGGTGAGGGACATCAATACATCATAAAAATAAAATGTAATTTACAAGAATGGAAAACATGTATCGATTTTTCAAAGGAGAGTTACCGTGCCTTGGGAAAAACATGCTGATGTGTTTGAACTAGTTTCTAAAAACATAATGGAATAATGAAGAAGCCTGTTAAAGCCTAGTGAAAATAAGCTTACCATAACTGTACAACATAGCAGATTTTTTTGTGGTGTTAGGTAACTGATGCAAGACTTTGTTACCCTGGAATCCAGGGTCTGAGTACATCTTGAGTGCATCTAGAGTGATTGAGAGAGTTGGGTTTTACACGCTTTTAGCAAAATTCCAGCAATATCACCACTGGGGACACCAGAAATGGCCTCCACACATTGATCCCATGTGGGGAATCGAACCCGGGTACCCGGCGTGACGAGCGAACACTTGGCCACTAGGCTACCCCACAGCCCGAGTGCAACCTGAAAGCTACACACTGTCACCCTATTTTCATGAGCTTGAAAATGCAACACATAACATCTCCATTTCAAACTCTTAATCAGTTGTGACCTTTACTGCATCAACTCCATCGCAATGGATCAGGTCATTTTACTAAAATTACGCTGCAAAACAAGATGCCCCACAAATCAATCAACTGTGAAAAAAAGGATTTAAAACAGTTCCCTTCAGATGAGTGGCAAAGGGACTGAACCCCTGCTTGCCAGTTCATCATTTATTTAGTGTACATTTCATCTCCACAGAGACTGTAAGAAAATACATATTTACTGGAAGAGCTGATGAGTGAGGATAATCAAATACCAGAATCAGAGCAGGTTAGAGTCTTATCTATTGGAGTGTTTGCTTTTAGAAACAAGCTTGGGCATAGTGGCTAGGTAAATACTCTGCTGAGCCTCTAGGAGAACTAGTAGTCGGTAATACACAACAATCCATTCCATACGAGACACATCTACATCTTACATGTAGATTGTTCAATCCCCATTTTAGTGACAAGTTTGGTTAATGGACATGGTCTGGCAATATATCCCCAGGATTCCGTCAGCACGGTGAAAACCACATCTAAACTAATGGCTGCAGCTTTGTTCACTAATCTGATCTCAGTCTAGCACGGATAGACATGGCCACTGATCCATTAGCCTGAGACAAGGGAAAATCCAGAGATTAATCCTGACTTTCCTAAAATCTGCAGCAAGCTGGTGTATTATGTTTGATATAAACTTCAGCCCTGGACAACACATCCCTCTGTATTTCGTGAAGTAATGCTTCACAGGACCCACCTTTGGAGGAAGAGCTGGTGGCTGGACTGGCAATGTTGACCTGAAACAGAAACCAGAGGTTACAACACTGCAGCCACACCTTCAGGACCCAGTTCCACATCCCAGCATGACGACTATCATCAGGCTAAGTTAACCTAAAGTACTGGAATTATGGCTTCATAGCACTTTGATCATTTTTCAAGGTCCTTAAGATAGTCCATGACTTTCAGACAGTACAATTCAGACCAAGCTAAGCTTGTTAAAAATTATTCATTCCTTATGAAATAGCTAAATATTGAAATATCCAGACACACTAAAAACAACTTGTAGATTCATTAAACATTGAAGTAGGTTTACCGAGAGATCAGTTTGTGAATGGCACAAGTACATAAATGAGTCATCAGTCACTTTCAGTACATCGCCATGTTTGGCATGTGTATATAATCCCTGGCCAGATTCCACATAGCATTAGGACTGGGCTCAATTCTAGGATAAAATTAGTAACTATCATCTTAGCACTACAGTTGCTTATTAAACTAGGCCTAAGATGACTTTCATTGCCTTATCTTATACTGTCTTAATGATAGATGATTTTTCATTAGTGAAAGACCAGGATGCATTCGACATTAGTGACACCAGTTGTGTATCTTGACAACATAGAATAGGGATCCCTACATAACAAAGCACCCAGCCACCAACAAGCCCAGGGCTTCCATATTGGATAAATACAAATGTAGCGTGGGAAGACAATTTGATTTCACACTAAGCCACAGTTAAAAAAAAAAATATTCTTCAGGATTTGGAAGACAGTAAAGAGAAACTGATCTGACAAATTGCACAGAGCAACTACATTTAATTTTTAGCAAAGAAAGTGTAGTGATGGTTTTACATGTCATAGACAAATAGAGGATATTGACAGTAATATTAACAAATATTTTCAAAAGTATACAAATGTAAGGCTTACATGTTTCAATCCTTGATGATTTTGTAAATATGAAAGTTACAATGAATCAAAACCTTTTTAAGTTTGCTTTTTATCAGATGTGTACAAAGGTCTAAGTACAGAGAATGGTCAAATCATCAAACTCATTGCATGGACTTAAATGCTTGCTAGCTACCACAATTTAAACACAGACTGAAGGAACCTTCCATGTTACAAGTGTGGAATACTGTATCTATAGGCATTTGCTGTAATAGATGAATTTTACACAACAACAAATTACACATGTTGTATTAATAATGTCAGACACTTTTTCTTGTCAAGCAAGGCTGTCAGCAAATTATGATAGCAAAACAATACCTCCAGACATGATTCATATAAAAGGGAACAACACCTTATTTGACACCTATATGACATATTCAATTTTTTTATGTTTGACATTTATTTGACACCATTTTATATAGGCAAGTAATTCATGTACCGGTACCATAACAAATATTGGATACTCAAAAAAATAATAAATAGTTTCCAAAATTAAACAATGCCTAGATTTCCATTGTGAGTGTTAGTTAAGAGAAGTCTACAATAGGAATTTTGAAACATTTAACATTTTCCCAAATTCAGATATTAGTGGAATGAGTGTGAGTGAGTGGTTTGATCACAGTAAACTGGTGGGTGCTCTGCACAAATGAACCAATTAAACCACTTGATCATGTGCAAGTTAGCACCAAGTAACATGGAGAACATCTTTCAGCTAAAAGTCAAACTTTAACTATATTCAACCAAAGATTATGTTTCAATTTCAAATTCAAACCAAATTGATACCAACGATAATCACAATAAATGAGTAACAGTAAACAATGTAATTAACAGTAACAATCAAATTAGAAAACTTCATCATAAATATTAACCAAAAACATAGCTAAATGCAAGGATACATCTACTCAGAATAACTGTTTATTGTCTATACACTCAGCAGTATTCCAGCTATATCATGGTAAGTCTGGACAAGACAATCCACTGATTGATATCAATGCTGCATACCGTTGTCATACCATGGCATGAAATCAACCAAGTTTGACCATTGAGTCATTGTAGTTATCTAGTATCACAAGCATAGGCTGCAGCAAACTACTCAATGCTCTAGCCAGAAGCCACTCTCTAGTCAGTTAGCTGTTGTCCCCATAGAAGTGTTGATCGTAACAAACCTAAACTTGGACAACAGCTGATTCATAACCATTACAGAAAACTAGCTTAAACACCTACCACCACTGTTATTACGGTTCACTCTAGCTGATTTTTCACACATTAAACATTCTTTCTTTGTATATTTGTTGTTTAAAGGCAATATGACGATGGTCTGTAAATATTCGAGTCTTGACCAGACAATCCAGTGATTGACATAAGCATCTGTCTACCCAACTGATATGCTGACCAAGTCATCGAGCCTTCCCCCAGATTCCGTTAATCGACTCTTGCAACAAGCCTGGAGGCTGATTCTAACGTGATCTTCACATGAACACATTAAACAAATACCTAAACTGAAATGTTTTAGTCATACAAATGAGTGAACCTCGTTTTCACAATACATGTAATTGCTATGACTACAACATGAAGGAGGAATGGTATACAGCTGTTAAGCTACATGGAATAATGGCAACTTATTGTGATCCCAGGCAACACAATCACAACTGAACGTGATCCCACCACCTAAAGAAAGATAACTGAATACAGAAAGCTGTGAACACAAGATGAGGCAGAGTGTGAAGCATTACCCTTTAATTGTATAGTATCTGAAAAAAAAGATTATATAGTTCACTTTGCAATCTTCTACTTTCCACACTTTCAAATATTGACCCTGACTTTGAAAATCTGAATTCGATAAATTATCAGATAGGAATTATTTGTATACAAAAAAATTATCAAAATGATCAGCACTTAAGAACATTTCTGATGAACTTTTTATACAATTAATGTATGCAAGATTTGATAAGTGCAAGCAAAAAAACGGAAATTATAACATTTGAAAAGAATTGAACTTTAACTATTACATCCTGCTGTCAGAAGAAAGTGCTGGCTCAGGGCAACCCGACCTCAGTTTCACATGTTTGTAAAGAGTTTAGACATGTAACGACAGCTCATCTAAACGACAGCTCCATTGAACACGTCAGTGCATGAAAAACAAGAACACTAACATAATTGCACAGATTTGAATACAATCCCCATCGGGTTTGGGTTTCACAGGAAGTGGGTTGCACAAAACCAACACTTTTTTTCACTCAAGCCTTAATCTTACAAGTGCATTGCAAAATGAAAGGATGTAATACAGACAGGAAATGAAGAAACTAGTTGATAGGGTTGCTTGAACAGAACACAGAAGACTATAACCTTAGTAGCCCACACCAGACAGTGCACAGGTCAGAAGGAGATGTACATTCGAGGATAAAATCAATTAAAATTAAGATTTTCTTTAGAGGAATGAGAAGTTTAGTCTTACATGACACAGTTGACATGATGCCCGGTTTCACCTTGACTTACAAAACTAGGGGTAAAGAGGACCCAAAGAATTACTTTCAAGTGGCCCTACAGGACTTACGTGGCCACACAAAGTAATGAAAGTGTATAGCGCAGTGTCGATCTGATTATTACTTAATCACATAAGATTTATACTTTTGTTCAAGAATTGGGTACCATGAATAACATATATCCCTTGTATTGGTATGTAAGGAACTCAACCCTATACAACACTGTGTCAGAATATGGCATTATTTCTTATGTTAATGTATCATTCTATCTGGTAGTCCACTCAGTAAGTGGCATTATTTCTTACATTAATGTGTATATCATTCTATGTGGTATCAGTGGTGTCATTATTTCTTGTATTACAGCGAGTGAACGAGGTAGTGAGTTGGATTTTACGCCGCTTTTAGCAATATCACAGCAGGGGCACCAGAACTTGGCTTCGCACATTGTACCCATATAAACCTTCGGTGTGACAAGCCAACACTTAAACCACTAGGTTACTCCACCGTCCCTCGTGTATTAGAGTATGTGTGAGACAAACGCTCTTGTACTAATAGGTGATTAATATTTGCATATGTGAACTTGTGAGTTATTTAACTGCAATGTGCAAGTCAGCATGGCCCCTTTGTATTTGACATAATCTCTTGGACTCTACCCGCATGTTGTGTTGCGTATGTTCTAGTACGTCTGTATTACACACTGCACTAAACTGTAACAGTGTGCACAGCTAGCAAATGTCAGTTTATTTCCACCTGTGTGTAAATCATGCTACCTTGTACATCTTGCACATTATCCTGGACATAGATGTAATCAGGTCAAACATACTAGGGGTAATGTGTTTATGTGTTCTAAAAGCCTTACTCAGCAGTATTCCAGTAATAAAAATGGCAGCCTGTAAACATCTGGACCAGAAACACCAGTGATTGATATTTACAGCACTCATCCATTACAGAAAACTGACAGAAAATCAAGTTGCCCCTTTACATTAGCGATCAGGTGCAAGGGATGACTGACTGACTGAGTTTAGTTTTACGCCGCTTTTAGCAATATTCCAGCAATATCATGGCGGGGGACACCAGAAATGGGCTAACACATTGTGCCCATGTGGGGAATCGAACCCGGGTCTTTGGCGTGACGAGCCAACGCTTGAACCACTAGGCTACCCCACCGCCCCAGGTGCAAGGGATGAAGAGTGAGTGAGTGTGAGTGAGTGAGAGAGAGTGAGTGAGTTTAGTTTTACGTCGCACTCAGCAATATTCCAGTCTGTAAATGATCGAGTCTGGACCAGACAATCAAGTGATCAACAGCATGAGCATCGATCTACGCAATTGGGAACCGATGACATGTCAACCAAGTCAGCGAGCCTGACCACCCGATCCCGTTAGTCGCCTCTTATGACAAACATGGGTTACTGAAGATCAATTCTAACCCGGACCTTCACGGGTCTTTAATTGAGTATTTGGTTAAGTTAGCAAGGGATGACGAAACACATTCTAAAATAGTATCGCCATATCGACTGCAGTGGACATGGGATACTGCATGTAGTATGTAAATTACTGATATGTATTCTATAAATATGACCAGTTTCCCTTGTACTAGTCACAGGATAAAATGTACTTAACCTTGTTGATCAGGACAGTGTCTCAATGGTATGTGGTGGAGGTGTACAGTAAACATAAGTCATACATGTATTATTCAACAGGACCAGTAGATATTATATTTTGCCTTATATGGTCACAGTATTTATCATGTGATATCAGAACATCCATCTGTGATACAGAGTGAGTGAGTGTAGTTTTACGTCGCACTCAGCAATATTCCAGCTATATGTCGGCAGTCTGTAAATTGAGTCTGGACCAGACAATCCAGTGATCAACAGTATGAGCATCGATCTGTGCAATTGGGAACCGATGACATGTGTCAACCAAGTCAGCGTGCCTGACCACCCGATCCCGTTAGTCGCCTCTTACGACAAGCATAGTCGCCTTTTGTGGCAAGCATGGGTTACTGAAGACCTATTCTACCCCAGATCTTCAAGGGTCTCTGAGATACAATCAACTGATTTTTGCGTTTATTAATCATTAACATTGGAATGGTATCTTAATGATCATAATTATATATCTTACACACATACAAATTATCATTTTATATCTAAAGCTTTGTCAACTATCCAATTTCAGCATGCTACTGAAGGATGGTGGTGTTGGATCAACCCCTTCATTCAGTCAGGGAGGAGGGAATGAGATGGGTTCAATGCCAGTTTGAACAGTATTTCAGTCATATCACTGACTGTGTGTCAATTTGCTATGGGTCAAAATGATGCAAATACAAATGTATTTGGTTATTACAGTATGGGGGAACCCATGGGGGAACAAGGATTCAAACATAATGTTTTGGGTCTCACACACATTCATCTCTGCACTCACAAGGGTGCCACCTTAGACTGAGGCATCCTCACAAAGACAGTATGATTATTTGGTTGCCAGTATATTGACATACCACTGATTTAGGAATAAATGGAATCCAGATGTTATTCCTTGACCAGTGTACCACCCAAGTAGTGAGCAATGAAAAATATAGGATAGATTTCACAAGGAAGGGTTATGTAAAGAATAACAGTTGAACAGTTGCTGAATAAAATTAAATGAATAAATACATCAGAAAATAAAAGAAATAATGGGTCCAAAATATAATTCTCTTATGTAAACACATAACATGCACCTCAAATTCAAGTTGATATTCCGCAAAGCAATCTTGTGACTATGATTGTCCTAACGAGTCTACAATGACCTGGGTCTATAGAATATAATCAGGTCTGAAAAGTTTCAACATTCCATGGATCTACATATGATCCTAATCTTCAGGAGAGCTAAAGGGTTAAATAAACTCTAGTAGGTAGCAGATTAGACTAGAGATGCTACAGCTGTATGTGAAGCTTGCAGTAGACGAGACAGAGACGATTACATGCACAGGGAACACAACTGGAATAGAACAGGGACAGACAGAGACCAACGTTTAACCCTTACTGTTCAAAGTTGACTTCTTCATAAACTAAACTACTTCGATGACCCCTGGAAGTGAAAGGAACAGTCTGTCCTGAGTCTTGAGAGCAATTTCATTAAAATAAGATTTACTTAATATGATACCTCATTGCATGAAGACCTGAAAAACCCACCACATTTAGCTAACGAGTTCCGAGGCTATAACATTCTCAGAACGAGTCAGCTAAGCATTTAACATGTTTAAATTCAATATTTTGAAAAATAATGTAAAACTGCAAAACCAAACAGAAAATAATAACAGCTGCTTTATGTATTAGTGGAAAATGTAAAAAACTTGCAAGGCTTGCAGTTTCTGAACTAAAGCCAACAAAATACAAAACAGAATCATTTTACAAAGTACATTTGGCTCATATATTTAGAATGATGGGTCGAAGTTTGGGGTCTGCTGGATGTGACCTCCCTGTGGGTAGGTCAGATCTTCAAGCAGTGCAGCATCATACTGGGGTGAAACATCGGATTTAAATCGACTGGCGATTATACAGTGACTACTCTTGTAAATGATTACCGTACTGATCTTGGAATTATTCTCGTATATGTAACCGATTAAATGATTTTGAGGATAAATAATATATTTATTTGGAACATATCTTGTCAGTTTTAATTTTAGTGAAGTAAATCTGAAGTATTAGTATTAACAGTATGAATGTTTAACGGCTGAATGTCTGTGAATGAACATGCCTCATGATAAACAGGGCTGATTTGGTGATTTCAACTGGATTATGTGTATGATACTTTGGGAAGGCTGCCTGTATGTGTTTCTCATTTCCAATTGGTCAGAAATTACTATGTACTTAAAAATAACAAGAAAAAGATATGATATCCATCACTTCAGTACATATCAAATATATTCTTGAAAAAATGTTCACTTTCATTTTATCTTACGGATACTCAAGATGAAGTAATCCTGCCTATTGTTTTTTTCAATATTTTAATCCCCCTGTTCTATCAAATGGGCCAAGAATATTGCATAAGAAGTAAATTTCCAAATTCTTAATCATTTTTGCACATTCTTAACAATACCATCATTGTATGTTTTATTTCATATTTCTGTCACCAGTTAAAGACAATCATGGTAATGAGAAACACAGAAGTGAGGACGAGCTAGGGAATGCTTGTATACCATAAACAACAACTGGAAGACCAGTATGTTCAGTCGGAATAACCACCTACATCTTATATATTAGCTCCGGCTGCAATGCAGTACTTTACAAAACCTTTCTGTTACACAGAGTCTAAGATGTCGTGCATCTATGAAAACTCCATTATAAAATTTCGTTTTGAACAAAACAGAAGCAGCCAAATTATGGTCAAAGACAAAACCTGTTGCTGTATGTAAGGACTGGTAATACCATGACTGTCTGGAACCAGGTCAAAACTGAAAGTAGGTATCCCAAATGGGCCTCTTACAAGAGCTCTTAGGATGATCAGGTTTTGGAACTGACTTCTGTGACTTTCAATGAAGACTCCATTGTTAGGGTTGAAGTAGGTTTTAAAGCTGTCATACTAAAAGTGAACACAGTATGCCAGATTGACACAGTGAATCAAGTTCAGCTGTAGGACCCATGTCATTAAGTGGTCTCTGTATCACACATCTATCCCAAACTGTGAAGATGGGAGATGTGATAGTAATAGGACCAGTACTGACCTGTGGAACCAGTATGTTACAGTATAGATGTAAGACATTGGGATAAGAGTGAGTGAGTGAGTATGGTTTTATGCCACTTTTAGCAATATTCCATCAACATCACGGTGGGGACGCCAGAAATGGGCTTCACACATTGTAATCAAATCCACATGTGGGGAACCAAACCTGGGCCTTCGATGTGATGAGCGAACGCTTTAACCACCGAGGTACCCCGCTGCCCTGATTGGGATAAAATCACTTTGTGCAGGTGGGCCCTGGTCTAGGACAGTTTGTATACCAGCATCCACTCAAGCCTTACTCATCCCTTTAATAAACAATACCAGGATATAATTCTGTGTTCTCTAGAGCAGTGAAGTTTTCATATTATTTGTGGACATTTGAGTCAGTGTTTCTAAAATAACTTCATATTAGTTTATCTACACTTAATGTCTTTCGAACATGAATTCTTTGATGTTGCATAAACTGATTAAATTCTGGGATTTATAACTCATTAACTTTACAAAACATGCTTAATATTTTAAAATCATGTTAAGTTTAAACTGTTATAAATGAAGAATAATAGAACAAAGGATTCAAAATGAAACAGAATTCAATCCAGGATGTTAAAGGTTGGTTAAAGATTAGGAAACAACTTAATACAATATGTCCTTGATGCACAGTTGATGAATGATATTTCATTTATGCAAATCTTTTGACAACCTGATGCAGCGAATGCCGGCGAATGGTCAGTCACAATGCAGCTAAATCCCACATTGTCTGCATCAAACTGTTACCATGGTTACCTGAAGGTACCAGTCAGATCACACCTGGTATTACAGGTAGTCCAACATCCAAGCAGTGTATGGCACTGAAATGTTTAGTACCATTGGGGTCAACATAGTTCAACTCTCTCAGAGTATACTATTATGATTAGCAGATTGTCTTTGTTATAGATTATCGTCATCTACAGGTCACTATGGTGAAAAAACTCTACAAGTTATTCTAATTATTGTATGATAAGTAATGAAAATAATGATGAGTTAAAAAGCAACTACTGTCATGAACAGGTGTTTCATATTTCAATTGAAACGAAACATCCAAACCAGACTACTTCTTTGTGTTTCTCATCATCTAACAGTCCAAATTTAGCCTCCATCATAATTTGTAAACAGTATTTACATTCATCCACTTGACAACCTGAGCAATTGTTTCAAATTTCTTTTCTCTGACAAGTCCATCTGAAGCTGAACATAGAGATGAGAAACATGCACAATAATCTTGATGGCCTGACATCACTCACTGCTTCCCAAGAATCATTCACACTCAGCACCCTCTTTGTCCATCTAATCCACCTTGACCAACAACTGTATACAGTTACCATGGTTACCGGTCACTACAGTGATGAAATACTGCTGATAAATCGTTTTAACTAAATTTGCTCGATGACCAATCTCATAACTGAAGACTCATGTTTCTCTAAGTTTCCCTATTTAAGTTGAATCATACATTTGTTACAATATAACATCCTTTAATTCATTTTGCTTATTGATAATTTGATAATTATTGATAATTTCAGGTACAGGCAACAACATGAACCCGTTGGGTACAAACTAAAATCAGCCAGAAGACATTTCGAGGCAAGTTAAAACTTTGCTATGAACTATAATTCTTTATGAAACTGATAACATCCGTGGTTTATTACATGAGACACAATCATGATTATTTAGATTACGTTGTTGACAGTATTCTGACTTGGCATTAGTTTACCTAACAACACTCGACCTCAACAATGGAATGATGACGGTGATGGTGTATCGCTGAAGTTTATACACACTACGTTGTATACATAGGAAATGATGGGGTGTTAGCATGGGATATGATGGGTTTGTCAAGTTAGTAGTGAAGTTTTCCACACCTCAACGGCCTGTTAGGGAACTGGTCGACCACAGCATCCTTAACTTCAGCAAAGTCGGATAATCAAAGACAAGGGAGAGAACTCCAAATTTAATATGAATGGAAACAGCCAATAAATTTGGCAACAATAGGTAGTCAAATTGAGCAGTACATTAGGGTTATGCTTTTTAATAAAATGAGGAATCGTAAAATAGTTTGTGTGTGTGATGCATTAGCAGGAGACAATGCCTGTGGATTCATCATCTGGCAAATTAAAGTATCATGAATGAATATGCTTAATGCTTTAAACACAAAGTATGTGTGCAGTTTCTGCTGATCCTTACAGACTTAAATTAATAATGATCCCTGATAAGCCTGGGCACCCATTGTCTCCACATACTTCTTAACACTTTTTTTGTAAGGTACTCTGAAACTGAAAATCACTAAAAAAAATTTTTTTAAATTCAAATATTCTACTACCCGCTGAAGTACCACACGAAAAACATTCTTTTAACTATTTCCTTAACCATAATCTGCGTTCCCCTGTAATCTTTTCAACAGAATATTCCTGTTCGACATTTGGAACATGTATATCAACATAGCGACTATCCTTGATTTAAGTTTGTCATATCTCCACTGTATTGATAGAATGGCGACATTATACTGAGTAAGGCAGGTGGAGACGAGTGTTGAAGTGTGGGCGTCTCTGTCCATGTTATGGAGTTAGTAGCAAGCCGTGTGTGAGATGCTGGGGTTATATGGGGTGCGATGCAGCAGATGCATACCTCTGTAGTAACTCCTCGTCAACTGACTCTAGTAATGTCCTGAATAAAACAAAATACAACCACCACTGTTAAAACTCAGTCCCTTCAAGTATTTCCCTCTGATAATTCATACACAGGCTTCTATGTCAGCATATCCATGCATAAATCACATCTTAAATGCCTCTGAAAGTTTCTCCCAAGTTTCTAATGTTGAAATTCTAATGGGCAGACAGTATTAATCAAAAAAAATTTTTCAGCAGGGCTTGATTTGAAAGATGTGAACCTACTTGCACCAAGTGCAACCTTAGATAAAAACCTAGTTGCACCAGCCAAATTCCAGTTGCGCTGTTTTTATTGCCATATATATTGAAAGAAATATCATATTGAATTATTTAGACGTTTTATTCAGAAGTTTACCCACTCGAAAATCAACTTGCACCTGGTGCAAGTTAGTCTAATAACTAGGTTGCACTTTGGAATGTTTGGTTGCACCAGTGCAAGTAACAAAGCACTAAATCGAGCCCTGAACAGTTTAGATGTGCAATAGGTATGACATGTCTTATTCAAAATCTGATCTTTACCTTAATATGTAATAGCTCTATGAGAAAGTTTGATGAGCCCTTTACAGAAAATACATTGTTTGAGTTCAGATCTGATTTGAATGAGCTTGTGATGTTGATGACCTGTTGGTTTTGGGTAAATGTCTAAATACAGTAACATTGTCATACCAGCTGTTCCGCAAGATAATTAATAAAGAAAAACACCAAATATTATTTCATCCAAAGAATGTGACATTTCCAGTGTCATCTGCCCATACAACATGGCGTAACTTTCAGAGACTTAGAGGCATATCCTAAACCCATTCTTATTTTAGTGCATTGCATAATAAAAGATAGACAAAAATCAAACACAGAATTGTGAGATACAGTATCAAAGACTAGTGCCTGCAAAATAAGGAAAATCATAGTAAGGGAATACCATGCACACTGGCAATATCTACTGATGTGTCAACACAAATAATTGTCATATTTTACCAGCATGTAAAAACAATAATACAAAAACCTTCCTATATATCATAACTGAGTTAACAGATTACCGAAGTTTATTACAATCAACAACGTCATCTTGTTTACATTTACCAAACATTCATAATTCTATTCAAACACGTGAGTATAAAGAACATTCAAGTATACTGACAAGCTGTTTTCAAGGTTAACCAGATAACACTACAACTATTAGTATTTGTTTACCACGCCAGGAAAATCCTGATAGTACTGTAATCTGATAGTGCATGCTCCATGTCTATCTCGTTACTAGTACAATATCTAGCATGCTGGTGAATATTCATGATGCTATTTGTTACTTCCAGTCCATGCATTAATACATTCATCAGCACAGCATGCAAAACACTACTCAAGTTGATGCATCTTAATGAGACAGATGTCGACATTGTAATAGTCACATTAACACCTCTCATAGGTCTTCAAACAATATTTTACATATCTGAATTCTTTTGAAAATGTTTGAAAATGATAACTACACTTGTAAATGATAAAGTAGATAAAATTTCAAGTTCATTTTGCAGTTAATTTTTTTCACTACATACATTCAACTCTTCGTATCACTTGCTTGATAACGGTGTTTGTACCTGCACCGAAACGACACTCTCATTGCAATAAAGACATTACTATCCATAGAACTTGGCTTTCCTTCATCTTTACAACTTCTAAACTGCATACACACATGCATCAAATGAATCAGGCTAGGTTACATATTGCTTTACCCCTTGATGGGGGAGATATTCATAATATCCTGAGCCCCAGAGAGAGGAGGAGGAGGGAGGCCTAGTTTTCTCATTACAATACCCAGGTAAACCGCTAACCAAAGCAAACATTGGATTATTATTGTTACGTAATACAAGGCCCCTTTTGTATCCTTAATTCTGGTATGCGTATGAATAATTCTCCACCAGCCGTGCGTGATCTACACCAGGAAGTGACCCTTCACACGTCAACTGTCACAATAAACCGTTGTGAGACAAGGTGACATTTACACTCACCTCAACTTCCTTCCTTATAACCCAATAACGGATAGGTATTTCACCAACGTTCACACCAGGAATGTGATGCATCTTTGTGGTTTTGAGAGACAGAAAGCTATGATAAAAGTCTGAGACTTCCCAGAAACCCCATAATTATTAAAACTGAACAAAATCATATTGGTGTTTGCACATCTGTTACAAAACCTTTTTTTCAGCTGTTGATAAATGACCAGTCAGGTCACTATGTGACTGTTTGTTCGTAATATGTCTGGGAGATCTTGTGAAGAAACACTTTTTTACATTTGGTTGTGATTGCTTGGAGACAGTGTTACTTCATAATGATTGACAGTGCCAGAACTAAGCAGAAATGTTAACCTCTAATATTGACAGGGTCCCTATATAAATATACAAATAATGTCCCCATGATCTCAAGCATGGATAGATGTATGTTAGAAGCCAATGACACAGCGAAGCATACAGCGAAGGAAGTATGTACAAGCTGCAGATAAAGTACATACTTAATACTAGTGTTGGGAATTGGTTGAAATCTCACAATTGATGATTGCTTCATTACCAACGAACAATCATCGAAAAAAATTGGTTAGTGTCATTTTTCAGATTTTCCTGTCCAGGTTGTTACTGCAGAAAAGTATAACATGTTGCAACTTGCTACATTAAAGTGATGACTAATATATCATGAACATAAACTTCCTGGAGTCTTAGAGAAATATTTAGTCATGACTTTTCAGTTAGTGGAGTGAGTTTTCTAAGAAATAAACATGTTTTCAGGCCCTGACAACTTCTAAGATATGTTCCATTGTCAAGTATTTCAAAGACTAAAACAGTAGTTCCAAAATCGTTTATGTTCGATTATGAGAAAATGTGATCGATTGCTTGGTCGTTTGGTCACTGCGACCAATCTTCGATTATTTTAATTAATCGGACCACCACTACTTAATACTCTGGTATTGTACCGTAAACCCTACTGACCAAGAACAGAAGCAGCATGGCCACAAATAGAGACAGTTCATCACTGGAGAACTAGTTCTGTTGAACACGTTCACTATGCTTCATTTTTGTGGGATCAGCAAATATCATTTCACAACGTTTTCACACAGACCAGTACCAGTCTATCAGCATCCTACTCAGTTGCTATAGCTGCAGCATCTTTCAGTTTTAGCATCATTAGAATAGACGTGAAGAGCCAGCGTTACACATTATGTGCACCATCACTGTCAGGTATATAGCTCCATTCCATTATGATACAGACAAGGGCCCCCATCCCCCACCCTAGCTCCATTCTGGAAGTCAAGTAACATCTCTATCTCTCCTCTCACCAACCATCCTGACATGGCAGACCAAGTTACTTTCATAAGCTTGAAATCAACAACCAATCACACTGCCTCTTAAGCATAGATCTACATTAGAAACAGTGGCTTTACACAAGAGGGGCATACATGACTTAAAAGGGTACCTAGTATTTACAGAGATGTTTTGCATGATGACTTTTACAAACAAAAGTTATCCATATCATATCAACATTACTTCGAGAATTAAACAATTTAAATATCATTTCACCAGTGAATGACCTTCGCAATTTTGACAAATGACACAACAGGGATAGAAATGCAATGTTTTGAAAGGGTGCCATAGGGCACAAGCCTGACAATTTAGATGTGCCTTTGTAAACATAGGTGTGCCCATACCTTTTGATGATCCAATTACACTTACATCACAACAATTATGGTATTTCAATTAATTGTTTACGAATCAGTAAAGATAATTTTTATCTGTAAACTTGAGAGCAGATTTTTCTGAACACTATGCTGCAATAATAGTTTAGCTTTATTTGTTGTCGACCCATAGATTAACCCATACTATATGTTATCATCCACAATGTGATTTCCTGTTATGCCCAATGGCATTCAAAATAGCCACACCATTGTTAAGCTGTGCATGCCACTGATACACAATTTGATAGGGTGCAAAAGTAGATTTTTAATAGTTTAGTTAGTCAAATTTATCGCATTTTCTATAAAATCAATCATTGGTATCATTTTTTTCTTAAATTTAGTTGTCACGATTGAAAATATTTCACATGTGCCACTTCAATATTTACCGTGCCATAGCACGCAAATTATGCACTATTTCAACCCCTTCACAATAATCATAGATGTTGAGTGAGTTACTTTGAGTTTATCTCAACCAATTAAAAAAAACCTTTGATATTTCAGGAAATCTGCCCTATTGTGACCTGACCAAACACAGAGGTCACTCTCAAGTTCATACGAAAGAGATCCTACACCAAATTCCACCATTACCTATTCATGCCAGCTTTTACACAAGCTTTTCTGAGGACAAGTATACACTTAGTGACCTTCACCTCTGAAAGTCATCCAATCACACTGTAACAAAAATTCTGCAGGTGTTTAAGGGAGATACATCAGGCTTGAAGGCTCCAACTTCTGAGAAGAGCTTTGTTCAGAAAACCAATGGTGGCGATGACACTCAAATTGAGCAAACAAATGTAGCAGTCAGAATTAGACAAGGCTGCTTCATTTCCATGCGATAGTTATAACATTTATCAGTCAGATGCCAGGGATGAAAGGATAACTCAGATGCACTAATAAAGTGTGAGACATTTAGTCACTAAGAACTAAACCAAGGCAATAAATCCCAACTCCACAGAATGATCCACATAACAAGTTGGCTAGCAAACATGTCTAGGATTAAATATTGCTGCCATGGCGAGCCACTCTAGTCACTACCCCCTACACATGTCTCTCCAGACAATGCATATTATGCATGATCCAATACACGATAACAAACATAAATCATCATTCAAACTCAATAACATCACAATGCTTCTGTAGAACAAACATTAATTCAGTCAAACAGAGAGCGATCATTTCTGCAATATTCATACCTGTAATATTTCTCAATGAATTCATACAATAAGGTAAATATGACAAGCAATTATTCTGTGATTTAGAAACCATGATTGCAAAATGCACCGCTGAAGCTAAAAAAAGATACAACAAAATAATTGTTTAATACAGCATCCAGATAAATGCAATCATTTAAGAAACATTCCCAGCATTGAAATCATCCAAACAAGCATGACAATGCAGGAGTAAGCCGTCATGAACATTAAGTCAGGTGAGCTACAACCGTCACCCATTTCACCACCAGCCTGGAAGAAGCCTTCTGTAAAGCCAAATATATTTTGAAAATGAAATTCCTGACCCTCATTTCACATCAAACATGCATGTGTAGTACTCACTTTTTGGACAGGTCATCGTCGGGCCAGGGGCGTGCTGTGTCATACTGTTCATCCTGCAATCAGTAGCATGGTGTCAGGAAAGTATTACATGACAATATGCTATTTCCCAGACAGGACAGGCACATTGCTATTGACATTCATCTGCACATATGACCATTACTAAAACTGCTGTCAGTTTGTTAACAAAAGGTTTATTAATTATTTTATATATTCTTTCTCTTTAATCAGACGTTGAATATCAAGACATGTCATAGAAGATGCTAAATATGGGGTGTATTTTTCCTGCTTTCACATGACAAGAATTCGACTGGATTCTTTGAACAAATATGCTGAAAGTCTTCATTTCAGATGGCAAACTAGGTCATCATGGGCATGTTAATAAACTTTATTAGTTTCATCAATCACTTTTAGGACATGTTTTGATAAACAAAAGACTTTAAAAAATAACAACCGAAAGTCTTAAGGGGGACAGGATTAAAGGTCAGATTAAGGTCATCAGGAACAACTAACTGACCAAGAGTAAGTTCATACTACTGGCAACATGACAGATATACAGTAAGTAAATATGAAAGAATCAGGACCCTTATTCTCAAAACATTTGTAGCTCTAAGAATTCTTAACTTTGATCGTAGCCAGTGTGTTAAGAATGGGCTAAAGAAGTTCTTAAAACGTTTTGAGAATAGCTAGCCAGGTTATTTCAAACATTAAGGGTAATAAATAGCATTATCACATGGTTATTTCAAGCCTGAAATAAGAAACATCATACTTTGATGGACCTAAATCAAATGAAACATTTAACAAGTAAAAGCTGATGGCAAACAAAGCCCATGCAGTGGTCAAGAGCTGTTCATTTTGGCAAACAAGTTGACCATTTGTTCACTGGGATTTAATTCCTATTTCCAAGTGGCAATAGGTTGTTACAATACTTACCTACAAAAATTACAATAAAGGAAAAAACAAAAACAAAAATTTGAAAAGTGTCAAATCATGAAATTCTGTGAACACGAAGCTCTCTCCATGAGTTATTGATTTCTGGTTAATACTTATACATTATCTATTTGGATAAATCTTGAATTCATACTTTCTAAAAAATGGTGTTTCATCCAATGAACACATATTCCACTTGAAACAAAACTAAGGTGTTGTCAATTGCTTTAAGCAACAAAGTCGATGAGGCAACAAAAAGACATATTAGTAAAAGCTTGAACAAGCATTAATATATACAAAGCATAGCTAAATGACGTTCCTGAAAGAGGTGTTGCATAAAACAGAATGCTGGACATTAAAACAGTGGATAAGGTAAACCATGTTATAACATGGTGAAGATGCCATCATCAGGAAATACTGTGATAATGATTGTCTAGGACAAACTGATTGGACTGACTGACTGAGTTTAGTTTTATGCCGCTTTTAGCAATATTCCAGCAATATCACGGCAGGGGTCACCAGAAATGGGCTTCACACATTGTGCCCATATGGGGAATCGAACCCGGGTCTTCGGAGTGACAAGCCAACGCTTTAACCACTAGGCTATCCCACCGCCCCAAACTGATTGGATGATAGCCTAGTACAATGAAGGTTCAAGGTCTGTGGACCAACTTTCAGTGGGTGGGTGAGTGAGTTGTGTTTGACACTGCTTTAAACTCTATTTCAGTTCCTGATGTGATGCAGATTTTAGACGTTCACCACCTTACTTGGGAGTGGTGATAACAAACCAGGAATACAAATTGGTATAAACTTTTGCTTTTGAATTTTTATTAGCAATCAGAAGATCACATCACGCCAAAGGGACAACTCGGCACCAAACATTGCGGTAACAACTGAGACATTATTTACACAGAGTTGATTTTGATCATTTCTGGCCTAGAATCTAAGGAATCCTCTTTGTGGATTTACACAAAACTTGTGAAAGAGTATATTGGTGAACATGGATCAGGAAACTACAGGACCTTTGAATTCACATATCCAATTCTTAAATCTATTCCAGGAAGCCCCAGAATCTGAATTAATGCACTTTTCAAACCAGAAATGAAAAGAATTTGAGGGATTTTCAAGCATGTATGAATCCTGAAGGGTAACGGTTGTGATCAACATGAATCTGCATTGTGTATATTCTCAGTCTATACTGGAGGTAGGTATGAAGCAAGAACAGTGAGAGAGTGAGTTAGGTTTTACGCCGGTTTTAGCAATATTCCAGCAATAATCATGAGGGGGACAACAGAAATGGGCTTCACACATTGCACCCATGTGAGGAATCAACCCGGGCCTTCGACATGATGAGTGAATGCTTTAACCACTAGGCCACCCCACTGCCCGAAGCAAGAAGAAAATGGGACTGTGGACAAAGGATCAAGCTGGGGATATAAGATACTGAAAGTTAAAATGATCTCTCATATCAGTCATCGCTCATATAATAAACTGGAATAAAGGCTTGGAAAGATTAGACACCAAGTAGACATGACAGATCACATCAGAATCCCATATAATGAACTGCAACATTTCTAACCTTCATGTGAACTACTTGAGGAATGCTGGGTTAATTAATGCATTATCACTGTGTGATTGCGATGGGAATAAAGGTTTCAATTTCCAAAAGCCACAAACTCTACAACACAATCCAGCATACTGGGAAATTATTTCAGTTCAATTACCATGGTAATGCAGAAATCAGGGATGAGAATGGGTACGAGTGAAAAAGGAAGAAAATGAGCTGAGGTCTTGGGGGCCACAGGTCCCCATGCCAGATCCAAGATTCACAAGAATGACTACAGCAGCGCGATCAAATCAGAGATCCGCAGAAACTTCTCATCCCTGAGAAATATATAAACAGAAATTTTGAAAGACTGCATGTATCAGGGTCCCTCGTTCATGAAGGCCATCAGTTACATGATTTCTAAATAAGGACAACGACAAAGACCATTTTACATATTTCCTTAGTTTTGAAGCAACATATAACCAAATAATATGAGCTAGGGAAATTGAGGAAGTTTAGGGTCAAACCAATCTAGCGTACCACAACAATGTACCCTCAGTAGTACCCGGTACAACAATGTACCCTCAGTAGTACCCGGTACAACAATGATCCCTTCAACATGGGTTAAGTGGATGATATGTTAACTGCAAATCTACACTAGTTCCTACAAACTGTCCAAGCAAAAAACGGCACCAGACACAACCTGAGCAACTGAACACCCATAAGATGCTGGGCTAAAAGTCTGCTTCTCATGCATAAGTGTCAGTGTGACCAGATCTAGACAAAACAGCAAACAGCATTACATGTGTACAGTCTCTGCTCATCTCCCAGCCTTGGGCAAATTCGTAATCAAAAGCTTCTGCACCCTGCAAAATGTGCAATGTCAGTTTAACAGTAACACAGCGATGTTTCAACATCCTTATCATTCTGATTCAATCATCACAGTATGCGGTAATGACATGAAAGGTCAATAAATCTCCTAATTGGATACTGTTTCAGGAAAAATTAAAATATGAAAAGTACAAAATAAATATCTAAATTGCACTAAAAACATAATTCCAAATATGTACAAAATGTATTGTGTGGACTTTAGGTCCAACAACAAGATCAAAGAAATTTATATATTTACATAATAGAACAATCTGAAAGAACTTTTTTGTTTGATTTCCCCACCAACCAGAGAGTATTTTTTACAAAATAATCTGTGAACCACCGAATAGGGAAAATATTACTGCAGCTCATGTTGAGTGTAAAAGGAGGATATCATATTAGTGTAGGCAAACATCATTCTCTCTTGTTAGAGTGCTGATGTACCTGGCCATACATTCATCATTAACACTGAACTCTGGTAAGACTGAAGGCTGAACAAGTTATCAGATTATCCAATATTAACTACTGAGCATAGTCAGGTACATCTAGGATTCGAACCCATGATCAGCAGATCCTGGCAGGACCAAGGGATGCAACTCTTCACACTGCCAGGCTGTGTTTGTTGTTAAGTTTAGACAGATAACATTGTTAGATACCAAAGCCTGTATATCAACAAACTCATTTCATAGTTTCATGCTACATGCAAGGATCTCTTTCTGTAACTGAACTTACAAAAAAGTTACCAGGATCTGATATGACATTACTTGGCAAAATATCTTAAATATGCTATCAAAACTAATTGGTAATTACTTCCAGCACTCTTAAATATTGTCTGAATAAGCTGAGTAACAACAGCAACAATTACTGTCAATACTGACTTAGTATAAAAAATTCATGAACTATCTAGACTGGTTACACTGTCAATATTCCTTTCATTAACTGTTCCAAGGCATTCATGCCACACTCTCATGCTTCAGATTGTATCAAGTCAAAAGATGTCAGTCTTATCATGTTATTATTCAAAATTGAAATTGGAAAGAAAACAAGTACATACCTTGGGTGAATCAAAATTCAAATTCACTGAAATGAAATACAGGATATCATTAAGCACTGGATATGTACACACACATTTAAGTCATTCATGTTTCATAATGCCAAGTTGAGGCCTATATAGAGGGTGTTCTGGAATTGAGCTTTAAAGCTTCAACAATCACATCATCACCGTTCCTTGACAGTGTCTGTCATTCTCCAATCATAGGAAGTTTGGCAGGAAATGTAATTTACTGTACAACTGCAGAAAAACTGTGGAATTTGGGCTTTTTATCAATTAATACACTCACTATAATTACTTTCAAGCTGAATGATGTCCACGGATTTAACTATGTGTTTCAAACATACAAAAAAATAATTCTCACTTTTAAACATTCTTATGGACATGTGACTACAGAAACTAATTAACATCGAACAATAAATAGCAGTGATGCTATTCCTGTCTACTTTTCAATGTCTTTTTTTCTTCATCAAATGGCAAATTTTCATTATGAAAGTTTTGTGGCCTGACCTCTCAATCTACCTGCTATGAGAAGTATGGATTGCCAAAGGCCATTTCTTTAGAGATGACAACATACTGACTTTATGGCTCACCTTTCAATTCGATACTATTTGTAGCTTGACTTTGCGAGCAGTTTTCTTGGATGATATCCTCCGTGGTGCATCCTGTAGGAACTGGAGAGGGACAACAAATATAGAACACAGTATCTACATGTACTGTATACAGGCTATGTTGACGGCCTCAGTAACATCGTTAATAGTTTCCCGTCTCACCAAGTAATACTCTGGAGATAGGACAGATGCCTGAATGATTGAATCTGAATCAGACAAACCATCTATTGATTGAACAAGTACCTGTGTATACACTGTTATACTATCCATTCAGAAATCATTCATAACTGTACATCACATGATCATCAACCACTTCCCAAGCAATCACCTGAATATGAGACAAGTCGTGTTGCATAATGCAGGAAATCTCCATTATAATATGTAACAGTTACGGCAAACCATCACATTAATATTGCAGCAGTGGTAACATACACTAAAATGGTGCTCATATATACAGTAGAACATGGATATAGCGAACACGGATATAGCGTACAAACGGATATAGCGAACAAATTTAAAAGTCCCGTCAATAGTCCTTTATAATATCATTAAAATTAGACGTGAATAACGAACTCGTGAGTAGCGAATTAACAGCTATAGCGAACTGATTTACTACCCCCAAGACCCAATTAACGACGTGATTAGCGAACTCACTCAGTGTCAGCTCAGTGTCAGCTCAGCCACTTAGTGGTATACATCAACCTTGTTGGTGGCGAATCAACATTGTTTGATGGTCATTAATTAATTAACAAAACAAACATGTACATGTACAAGAATAAAGATTTGTAGCCTCAGCATATACATGTCTCTACATCTCTACATTCCAAGATGGCGGTCAAATGTGAATAACGAACAACGGATATAGCGAACTAAAATTCTTGGTCCCTTGGAGTTCGTTATATCAGTGTTCTACTGTACTGTGGTACTGTGTGGATGTAGTTAACAAACTAAGTCAACGTTATCATGCTTACCCCGTCATCATCTTCTGACATCTCATAATGGTTGTTTGTAGTGGGGTTCCGTGATTTCTCCAACAAGTCTTTTATCAAGAGCCTACTGATATCAAGCTGCAGGAACGGATGCTGCAACAGAAACAGATTGCCATAATCAGAAGTAACAAAACAACAGACACAAATACCTCACCTGTTTTCTTGTGGGACACTGTTTTCATGGTAACTGTCAGTCAATGTTAGGTAATGAAATGTGATTCTGATACTTAGTATCATAGTCAACATTTTATTTAAGGCACAATAGGAACTACAGCATAATAATCTGTGTGATCATGTACTTCAGAAGTCATGCTTTAAAATATTGGTGATCTCACCATTGAAACCATGACAGATAAAGAAAATGTACAATGTAAAATACAGTGACATACAGGCAGTGGCATAAAGAGGTAAAAACAAAGCAACATATAGTGACACGCAGAGAGTGACAGACACACATACAGTTGTGCACAGACACAGAGGAAGACATACAGTGACATACAGATATACAGATGTAGACAGATATACGAAGGCAATGACATACAGACAGATGCAGATATACATAGGGAGACATACATACATACATACATTCATACATACAGGGAAACATACATACATAAATAAATACATACATACACACACATTCATAGGGAGACATACAGAAACACAGATAGACATTTCATATACAAATGCAATTACATACAGACAGATGCAGACATGACATACAGATATACATAGGAGACATACAGATACAGACATAGATATACAAATGAATGACATACAGTCAGATGCAGACATATGACATACAATGATTGAGTGAATTTAGCTCTACACCACACTCAGCAATATTCCAGCTATATGGCGACAGTCTGTAAATAATCCAGTCTGGACCAGACAATCCAGTGATCAACAGCAAGAGCATCGATCTACTCAATAGGGAACGATGACATGTGCCAACAAAGTCAGCGAGCCTGACCTCCCGATCCCGTAAGTCGCCTCTTACGACAAGCATGGGCTACTGAAGATCAATATTCTAACCCGGACCTTCATGGGTCCTACAACATACAGACATACATGGGGAGACACACACAGATGCAGATATAGTGGTATACAGACTTACAGTATCAGACATGCAGCAATATACAGATGTCAATAAAGAGACATCCCATGACATATATAGGAAGACAGAGACATACAGACATGCAATGACATATACAGACAGATATACATAGAGACACACCATGACATACAGACACATACATTGAAATATAGTGAACAGTGACAGACTGTTTATCTCAGAGAGGTACAGCCATACAGTGACACAGGAACATACCTCTAACAACTTATCAGCTGGGGGCCTCTTCTTTGGATTCTTAGTCAGTGTAACTTTGACAAAATGTTGAAAGACTGTGGTCCTGTGAAAAAACAGACGAGGAAGTAAGCAAGTTGTCTTAGCATCTACTGGTAGTTTTGGATTGGTCATATAAAACAGGAATTTCAATCAATAACTGGGACAGACATATATATAGCTAACATAGCAGTCCCCAAAACATTACATTAGATGAAACATGAACACAACCACATGTGTTTGGATATGTGTGTGTTTTTCTGACAAAATACGTGAGGCACATCCTGTACCTCTTACATTCTTGCACTGAATACTGACTGACTGACTGAGTTTGGTTTTACGTCGCTTTTAGCAATATTCCAGCAACATCACGGCGGGGGACACCAGAATTGGGCTTCACACATTGTACCCATGTGGGGATTCGAACCCGGGTTGTCGGCGTGACGAGCCAACGCTTTGACCACTAGGCTACCCCACCGCCCCTGCACTGAATACAAAAGCTTCTCATCACTGCCTAACTCTTCGGTTGTTTGAGTCGTTACTGGGGCTCTTGTCAATGCAAAATGGTGGAATTCATCTATGGAGAAAATTTCTTCTTTGGTTTCAAGGTGACATTTTATGTTCTATTCAGGAATTACTGCTATAAAATTGTAACTGGTGAAATGTTACCTCAAATGGTACTTCACCTTTCCTGTCTCGTATGACCTTCAGTTATACTAGTATCCAAGAAAGTAAGTACTCTGTCAGCAACATCTCAGCATGTGCAGGGGGCACCATATGGGGATCCCAAACTGGATCTTCAGTAGCATGATTATGTGCCTTACATGGATTTTTATAGGATTCCTAACTTAATGCTGTTTGTAGGCAATTTAGAAAATAGAACTATTTTGTGCAAAATAGACACACTTTTAGCCCATAATTTCTTAATTCAGATGGGGGCAGTGGGGTAGCCTAGTGGTTAAAGTGTTCGTTCGTCATGCCAAAGACCCGAGTTTGATTTCCTACATGGGTACAATGTGTGAAGCCCATTTCTGGTGTCCCCTGCCGTGATATTGCTGGAATATTGTTAATAGCAGCGTAAAACCAAACTCACTCACTCACTTAATTCAGAGGTATTTTATCCCTGAGTAATTCATGACTGACTGTAATCTCAGCTGAAACTCAATGCATTCACATATCCTGGTAGCACAATGAAAAATTAGCCAGGTTGAATTTGGTGGACTTGAGGGTAAAGCAGAAATTTTTGTTATCGTACTTACCATTTGTTTTTATCTTTGAGCTGAGGAGGTTTAAAGCCACTTTTTGACATCAAAAACAACGCCCTGGAATGAGAAGATGCAATCAAGTGCATTGTTGACGAGTGCAAACATAAACTCTTGCGACTAATCAAACAAACTGAAAACACATAGTCCTCCCAAACATTTCTGCTTCATCTATATACCGGTAGATGCCTTGAAATATTCGTCTAATATATATATTTATGCATAAAATGGAAAATGGCTCACTGTCTTGAATAAGTTGGAAGAAACTCTGTTACTGCAACCAAACAGGAATACATACCTCATGGGATGAAGATCAAACATGGGTGGCTGCAACTCAGCAAACTCAATGGCAGTGATGCCCACGGCCCAGATGTCACACTGCTGGTTGTAGCCCCCCTTCCTCTCCACAGCAGCCACCTCGGGGGCCATCCTGAACACACACAGTCATTGTTACACATAGCACTACCAACCCTGTTTAGTGACGCAACATGTAATGATGTGTGTGGCTGCATGAAGTAGTTGGATGCATATGTCGGGGATCGTATGTCCTTGTTTGATGCACATGTGTGACTATGTTCTTGTTGGATGGACATGTGTGAAGCCGTATGTCCTTGTTTGATGCACTTGTGTGTGACCGTATGTCTTTGTTTGATGCACATGTGTGTGGCCTTATGTCCTGTTTTATGCACATGTGTGTGTGACCGTATGTCCTTTTTTTATGCACATGTGTGTGATCATATGTCCTTGTTTGATGCACATGTGTGTGACAGTATGTCCTTGTCTGATGCACGTGTGTGACCATATGTCCTTGTTTGATGCACATGTGTCTGATCATATGTCCTTGTTTGATGCACAAGTGTGTGACTGTATGCCCTTGTTTGATGCACATGTGTGACCACATGTCCTTGTTGGATCGACATGTGTGTGTGACAGTATGTCCTTGTTGGAAGCACATGTGACCGTATGTCCTTGCTTGATGCACATGTGTGTGTGACTATGTCCTTGTTTGATGTACATGTGTGACTAGTCCTTGTTTGATGCACATGTGTGTGTGACTATGTCCTTGTTGGATGCACATGTGTGACCATATGCCCTTGTTTGATGCACATGTGTGACCACATGTCCTTGTTGGATCGACATGTGTGTGTGACAGTATGTCCTTGTTGGAAGCACATGTGACCGTATGTCTTTGCTTGATGCACATGTGTGTGTGATTGTATGTCCTTGTTGGATGCACATGTGTGACTATGTTCTTGTTGGATGCATATGTGTGACTGTATGTCCTTGTTGGAAGCACATGTGTGAAGCCATAAACCCTTGTTTGATGCACACGTGTGACCATATGTCTCTGTTGGATGCACATGTGTGACTATGTTCTTGTTGGATGGACATGTGTGAAGCCGTATGTCCTTGTTAGATCGACATGTGTGACCATATGTCCTTGTTTGATGCACATGTGTGACCGTATGTCCTTGTTTGATGCCCATGTGTGTGTGATCGTATATCCTTGTTTGATGCACATGTGACGGTATGTTCTTGTTGGATGCACATGTGTGACTATGTCCTTGTTGGATGCACATGTGTGACTGTATGTCCTTGTTGGATGCACATGTGTGAAGCCGTAAACCCTTGTTGGATGCACATGTGTGACTGTATGTCCTTGTGTGATGCACGTGTATAACCGTATGTCCTTTTTGGATGCACATGTGTGACGGTATGTCCTTGTTTGATGCACACGTGTGACTTTGTTGGATGCACGTGTGTGTGACTGCATGCCCTTGTTTGATGCACATGTGTGACTGTATTTCCTTGTGTGATGCACATGTGTGTAACAGTATGTCCTTGTCAGATGCAAGGTGTGCATTTGTGATTATGTCCTTGTTGGATGCATGTGTGTGTGACTGTATGTGTTTGTTGGATGCACATGTGTGACTGTATGTCCTTGTTTCATGCACATGTGAAACTGTATGTACTTGTTGGATGCACATGTGTGACTGTATGTCCTTGTTGGATGCACATGTGTGTAACTGTATGTCCTTGTTGGATGCACATGTGTGACCATATGTCCTTGTTGGATGCACATGTGTGACTATGTCCTTGTGTGATGCACATGTGTGTCTGTATCTCCTTGATGGGTGAACATGTGTGACTATGTCCTTGTTTGATGCATATGTGTGACCATATGTCCTTGTTGGATGCACATGTGTGACCATATGTCCTTGTTTGATGCACATCTGTGACCATGTCCTTGTTTAATATACATGTGACTGTATGTCCTTGTTTGATGCACACGTGTGACTGTATGTCCTTGTTTGATGCACATGTGTGACTGTATGTCCTTGTTTGATGCACATGTGTGACTATGTCCTTGTTTGATGCACATGTGACTGTATGTCCTTGTTTGATGCACATGTGTGACTGTATGTCCTTGTTGGATGCACATGTGTGACTATGTCCTTGTTGGATGCACATGTGTGTAACTGTATGTCCTTGTTGGATGCACATGTGTCTGATCATACGTCCTTGCTTTATGCACGTGTGTAACCGTACGTCCTTGTTGGATGCACATGTGTGACCATATGCTCTTGTTGGATGCACGTGTGCGACCGCATGTCCTTGTTTGATGCACATGTGTGACTAGTCCTTGTTTGATGCACATGTGTGTGTGACTGTATGTCCTTGTTGGATGCACATGTGTGACCATATGCCCTTGTTTGATGCACATGTGTGTGGATCCACATGTGTGTGTGACAGTATGTCCTTGTTGGAAGCACATGTGACCGTATGTCCTTGCTTGATGCACATGTGTGTGAGTATGTCCTTGTTGGATGGACATGTGTGACTGTATGTCGTTGTTGGATGCACATGTGTGAGGCTGCATGCACATGTTGGATGCACATGCGCCCTAGTATGGACTTCAACCATATTTACATTTCCAGCTCATTAAGGTACCAAGGATCTTCATCATATCAATATTTCTGATTTAAAACTATCCATTACAATAAATCACTTCATTTTGCAGTATATATTATATAAAACACACAACATGGTATGATTTTGTGCTACTGGAGAAACAAAAGGTAATCAAAAGTTTTGAAACAGCCATTTCCTAACACTAGAATATGGTCTGATATGTGTCCAATGATAAATGATATTAATATTGATTCCACTTGCTGTGAAAACAGTAACTCACCAGTAAGGTGTCCCAATGAAAGATTTTCTTTTACACATTGTTGCAGTTATCTGGGCCGACACACCAAAGTCAGCTGAAACACAATGTCTTTCTGTTAATCAATGTACCTACTTTAAGTAGAACATGGTTCTACTTCCACACCAGACTGGTCTTCATCCTGTGTAAGCCATGAATACTTCAAAATATAATTAAAGTGGATACTGGGGGGAGTCAGACTTTATTGTGGTGGACAAATGATTATGTGTACTCCTCCAAGGATGTTGATATAGCCTCTGCTTTGCCTGTCCAGATAGGCTGATAGAAAACTGCTTGAATACTTCTGACTCATCGTAAAACAATAAACTCATACTGATCTCCAGCTACTAATATGGCTTTTACAAACAATTTACATTTCTTGATCAGGATTTGTCAGCACCAGATCTGTGCTCAAGAGTGGTTAACATCAGATATTTAACACATTTTGGCAATTCTGGCTTTCCTCTCACACTAAGCTGACATGCTATGATAGAACTTAAATACTGCTCAAAGCAGCATTAACCCTAACTCACAGTCTTGAGCAGTAACAAACTGAAGGAACTTTCCGTAACACTTACCAAGTTTGACATCACCTTCATCTGTTAGTAAAATATTAGCACCCTGAAACACAGAGATATTTTTTAGTGGTATGCTATTTTAGTCATGATAATAACAAGAATACCACTACACATTAACAAACTATTGGAGAATCCTATATTACCTTTGTAAAGGTTGTTTCAAGCTATCACAGGTTCCAGATTCTAAATACCTTTCCATGCAAGACATCCCACCCCCCACCCCCCCCCAACACACACACACACCCAATGTCATGTACAAAATCAATGACACCCTCCTCCCCTAGTACATGAGCATGAAATTGATGAAACAATGTGCCAGTCAGATTACAGTAACCTCAATGTGGAGGCTTCCTAAGTGACATTTAGAGTTAGATTAAAACAGTCTGTGTCAGAAAAAAGGGTATGAACTCGAAGATCTCATGGTAGGAGAGAAACAACTTGTTTTCAACTCATTTCTCTCCTACCATGACATGATCTTCTTGTTCACTACATCAGGTCCCAATGTACTAGTATGATGTTCTATATATGTATTGAGCAATACACTGATGCTTTATCAGGAACCACATGCTGTGACCTGTGTACACACCTTGATATCTCTATGCATCTTTCCCCGACTGTGAAGGTACTTCAGACCCTTCAGTGTTTCTCTGCATATAAACGCTATCTGGGGCTCAGCCAGGGGGGCCAGTCACTGAATAAGAAACAAAGATTTTGCCGGCAAACAAGCAGGGCTGACAAAACATATTGATAATCAGAAATATCACTGATGCTAAGAATGATTAAGGATTATCAACAAGAAAACTGTGTTGATAATCTTCCAAAACTATTGTGAGGAAATATAATTTAACATACACACACAATACACAAAGTTGCATCTATATTCCATGGTCACTTCTAGTTATGTCCAGAATGTTGTCTTTGTTAGAAGTCCATGCATAAATAAGTATGTCGCCACTGTAGGTTTGATGCTTAACGCTGCACTCAGCAATTTTCCAGCTATATGACCTCAGTCTGTAAACAATTGAGTTTGACTAGATAATCCAGTGATTGATATCATGAGCATTGGTCTTCTCAATTATAATATGATGACATGTCTCAACCAAGTTGGTGAGCCTCACCACCCGATCCTGTCAGTCACCTCTTACAACAAATATTGCTTGCTGAAGACCAATTCACAGGGTGTCACCACTGACCAGTGACATGAAATATGTTTATTTTTTTCGGATTTAACAAAGTTTTTGATCAAAGTTATGTCTCTAATATTTATCAATAATCAATCTCTCAGAGTCAACAGAAAATACATCCAGCCCATTCCATTTATAACTACAGAAACCATGTTTCCCCAGGCATTAAATAGGTAATTGGAGAAAATGATGTATTATCACAAGATTTAGAATACCATTTCATTTGCACCAACTTCCTGGAAACACCACTGTTCACACAGTTGTTAGAATACTTTAAGCTTGGTTTAGAGAGAGTTTCATTCAACTAATTCAATCCTGATGAGGACAGAAATAAACTTAAATCTGACCAGGTAATTCAGAAAATGAGATCAGTCCTGTGTTTTTGTTCTTATGAACACCAGGAAGCAAAAACATCCCAACAGTTAAAACCTAATGTTTTTCATTCCAACAGATAAAATAGGCCCCCTGTGGCTATAAATACACCAAACCCAGACGAAGCACCAGGGGACCTATAATATCGGTAATTACAACCAAACAGTTCTCTCCACTTAAACAATGGAGGAGGATTTCCATTGCAGCAAAATCAGATTTGGCGTTGGTCCAAACTTTGGTTAATAAATTCATCTTTAACTATCTCAAACTAACTTTAAAATCATGAGTACATGACACATAATTTCCACAGGCAATTCAGAATAGGCTATATATAATACTATTAAGTCCAGAGAAATGAGAAAATAAGTGAGCTAATAAACTAGATTGTGACACTCACCATGATAGATATCCTGCATGGATCCACCTCCACAATATTCCATTGCAATCCACAATTTCTCCCTCCTGCAACAGACAGCAACATGAATACAAACAAGAAATATCATGAGAAATTAAAACTGGAGAAATAATTAAGCTTTTATCATGAATGCATATTTCAATGAAAACAAGCCAAGTAATGTGAGCAAGACTCACTAATACCAAAGAACGTGATGCCCAACTTCAGCTGTGCAACAATTAATAAAGATTATCCTTGACAAACATTTCCACGGTGACTCTCCTTTTGACAAAAAAAGGTCGTAAATTTGAAAACAATCTAACCTATAGGTTTCAAGTTGTTGGTTGAAAAAAAACTTCGAACGGATGGAATTCCAAAACATATTTTCCCCTTATTTCAATATTATTACCAGCTCTATTATCCCTACTGGCCTCTGTGAAGATAAATATTAACTCACTCACCTACTGACCTGACTTGTCATGTTTACATTGACTATGTTTATCATCTCTACTACTTTACAACATTGAAAATTTTAATATAAATTGTATACTTATATACTTATCCTATCTCACAGTATGCACTTCTCTCTCTTGATTCGACACTGAGTGGAACAATGTAAACTTTTTTTCCCTAGGCCTCTCTTGTCCATCCGCCCAAGCACTCCATGCTACCCTCACTATAAGACAGCTTCCTAACTCTCATGCAAAGCATGCGGCATGCACCACTAGCTGCCCATGTGACTATCTCCGAATTATCATTCTCTTTCTTGGAGCCACTGGATAATATCCATCTTCGGTTGACAATAATCGGGCCAGCCCCTGCTTCGAGCAGACCCCCACAGATACCGACCAGGGGCGGGTGAAAGAGAAGCACAACTCGGGAACTCCAAGTTTTAACGTTCAGTTCCAGAACAGCATCAAATTGACCCTCACTCCTTTGCATAAGCTTAGTCAAAGGATGTGCCCGGCAACTTCGGAGTCGGAACACAACAAAATCCACTTGAATTCGGGAGTGACACACTTCACTGACGTAATTGCTTCGAAAAGTAGAGGTCAGGAAACGTGAAACGTCGAACCCTTCCACATTGTGATACAGAATCGAGCTCAAGATTCGTCCAACCACCGAGGTGGTAGTATCTCCGTGTCTTAGTATAAAACTAAGTGAAGTAGTTCTAACCCATCAGCAATCAAACACATGGCAGACAGCAAGTTCAGACTTATATTCAAGAAAATACAGGGAAGCAGCAACCGCTGGACACTGTTAACGTCCAAAGCATGGAGTTCAGGATATATGAGCAGCTGTAGCCAAGGCCACAAGGAAGAACGTCTTGAAGGAGATCTTCTCAATGTCCTTCTGAGCTAGGGGTTCATAGTCCGTCGAGGCCAAATGACGCAGCACCACAGATAAATCCCAAGCAGGAGGTCTAAACTTCTTAGGCCGACCGGCCAACTTAAAGGACCGAAGCAAATACTGAAGCACAGGAACCGTGGAGACCTTAGAGCCGGTGGTGGTAGCGAGGACCGAGTTGATCTCAGCAAGGTAAGTGGCCAAAGTGGAACACTTGAGCTTCTTAGATGACCGCAATTGCTGCAGAAACTCAGCGATGATTTGAGGCGAGGTAGAAACAGGAGATGTAATGCCTCTGGACATGCAATATCTCTCAAAACATTTCCACTTCTCATCATAAAGTGAACGGTTGGAAGTCCGATGAGCAGAAGTGATGGCCATAGCCACTCTCCGTGAATACCCCTTGGCAATTAAGGACTTCTGCAGATGCGCCAAACGTGCAGAGACAGGGTGTGAAGGGATACATAACGCCGATCCGAGTGAGGGTGTAACAGTAGGTCGTCCCGATCGGGAAGAGGAACTGGGTTTAGGTCTGTGAGCTGTGCCAGATCGACAAACCAACTCCTGACTGGCCACGCTAGTTGGTCTGGTATCGGCGAGACAAACTGCGGGAGCTGATGGTTGAACTGCGTGGCGAATAGGTCGACTTGGGGCCTTGATAACGGGAAGACCAGTTCCCGAAAGATCTGTGGGTTCAATTGCCACTCCGTAGGAGATGGCCAATCGGAGCGGGACAGCGCATCTGCGATGACATTCCTGACTTCGGGAATGTGTCTGGCTCGAGCATCGATGGCGAGGGAGTCCATCAGATGGAAGAACCGAAACGCCAACTGAAGGATGTACGCGGAACCTGTAGACCCGAGATGGTTGATGTACCAGACGACCGAGGAGTTGTCTGTCTGAATCAGCAGGGAGGACCCCCGAAGTTCTGTCGCCCAATGTCGAATGGCGAAAAGAGCGGCCATGAACTTGAGTTCGTTGATGTGCAAATCTCGTTCTGCGGACGACCACAGCCCGGCAGTCTGATGATGAAGAAAGTGAGCTGGAGACGTAGGATCAGGTGGAACACCAGGACTAGGCGCCATAACAGATGGTCCGAGGGAAGGAGCATTCCCCGTTAGAGTGAGCAGCCTGTTGTTGATTCCAAGCAGTAGTAAGAGCACTTAACATCGCAGCCAGATCTGGGGGAGGAGTAGTTCCCTGCGCAGGAGTCCAGGAATCCGGTACAATCTGAGTTGAAAGACGCGAGGAGGCAGGACTCCCGTCAGAAGTCATAGAACGCTGAGATCACAACTTGGAAAACCGTTGATTAGATCGATGATCCGTAGAACCATATCTATGTCTGGAGGTAGACGAACCGAGAGATGCACAAATGGAGACCCGCTGAGGAGAACGGGAGCGAGATGGGGAGATATCGCAACGATAACGACGATCCCTGGATCTTGAACGATAGGCAGTAGTCAACGATAGGCAGTAGTCAACGATAGGCAGTAGTCATCCAGACGACTCAGAGAAAGTCGCGTCCATGCTGAGGAGGCGTGACTGTAGGATCCTACAGAGTTCGGGGAAGTACTCAGATGATCCTGCGAGAGGCATTCCTCTGAATACCGCTTGGAAGAAGGACGTTTCGGCGAAAGAGAGCCGGTCTAATTCTGGGGAAAGTGGACAGTCCGGCGAAAGTCAAGGTGGAGGGGAGCGGACAGGCGAAGCGTGATCCGAGGAACTGTGATTCGATCTGGCAGGCTTCGACGAAGCAGAAGATCGAGGTAGCTGGACACAAGACACACTTCTTTTCGCCGAATGGGAAGGAGATGGTGAAGTAACCACTGACAGGCGTTCAGGCGAGGTAGACTGGTTCCTCTTACTACTGGATGAACGACGGGAGCGAGAACGGCTTCTGCGCAGTCAGGTGTAGAGATCAGCTGATTCTTGTCCGAAACAGATAAACCAGGTTGCCGAGATAACTGGTCCAGTGAACAAGATACAGAGAGCGTAGTTTGAAGGTCCTGCTGTGTAGGTATCTTGAGGGGTGGTAGCAGTCTCGACAATCACTACCCGGGATGTGGTCGAAGACGAAGGACTTGGGCTAGAATGTTGAGAGCCCAACAAATGCCGAACATCTTCGGATAAGTAAGAATCTGACGACGCTCTCATGAAATCCTCTTCATTCGAGTGAGGGGACTGTGACCGACGAGCAGACAAAGTAGGACGCTTAAACTTTCCTTTCTTGGAGGGACTGGGTCCGTCAAGTGAAGCGGCATAACGAGCCCTGTCAGCAACACGACGAGCACAAGCCCGAGTGTAGTCACCAAACGCCTCTAAGGTAAGGTCCTTGCATTTATCGCAACGAGAGTCCCATTTACACTGTCCCATACAGTCAACACAATACCCATGTGGATCACTCGCGGAGAACACTTTATTACACCAGGAACATTTTTTCCTCTTCTTTGGTTGGTCAACTAAGTTGAAAACGTTGAGCAAAGAAACATACGTCCACACTCGTGTGCGACAAGAAAGTGAATGATGATTCGGAGATAGTCTCGTGGGCAGCTAGTGGTGCATGCCGCATGCTTTGCATGAGAGTTAGGAAGCTGTCTTATAGTGAGGGTAGCATGGAGTGCTTGGGTGGATGGACAAGACGGGCCTTGGGAAAAAGGTTTACATCGTTCCACTCAGTGTCGAATCAAGAGAGAGAAGTGCATGCCGTGAGATAGGATAAGTTTAAAAATTTTATCATATGTACTGGCCTCACTTTATATCTATCATGTTTACTGGCCTGGCATCACCATGTTTACTCCGACTGCCCACTATGGTTATTATATTAAACAGCCTGACTGTACCACATCTATCATGTTTATCCGCCTGACTTCATCGTGTTAACATGTTCCTGGCCTGACTTTCCAAAGATTGTCAATATCCTGTCTTTAATGTGTTCACTGTATGCAAATATCCATATGTCCAGCATCAGTGATGCATTAGATTGTCTGACTTTTAAACATCTGCTCTACTGGGGCATGGGTTAATTCTAATCCTGATACAAGGATTCAACCCTTTGCCCATAGTAACTATGAAGCACCAGGTGTCCAAACAAATTACCAAATATTTGTCTGAGAAATAGCTTACCAAATATGATTAAATTTCAGCATCTTCAGTAAATCATCAAACAATATCAATAAACATGATGAACACAATAAATTGCCCCGGAGTGAGTGAATTGAACAGTATCTTATTTCTACCATCCTAATAAAGGCCTGTCAACAATATCACTGAATGCGTGAAAAGAGGCCATGTGATGCACAAGGCAAATGTTAAAAATACAAAAGAAACAACTAAAGCTTGAATTTCATCTCACAACCAGTGGATTCTGGCATAACTAAGGGATGCAACTCCTATCTTCGCCTACCTGATATAACTGCCATAGTAAGCTACTATATTGGGATGTTTGCAGTCTTTCATCATGATTATCTCTTGTTGAATGATGGCAAAATCATCACCTGAAAGAACACAACAAACCTGCATTTTACACATTCTACAATCAAAGGAACATTTCTGTCTGCATGATCATTATTTGTGTGCCAGAGTTTTCACTGTTTATGTGGGATGAATTAACACCATCAAATACAGCATATATATCCACATGTGTCTCAGACTGATTCACATTCTTTTACATGGATTATAATTTTGATGGTTATGATTATAGTATACAAATGTCCCAAATTTCTTTTCCAGTTTTCCGGGTTGATAATGATCATGATAATATGGAGGCCTGTCCTATCAAATAAAAGAAAGATGCAACCTATTGCTTATATGCCAGTCCCAAAACTTTACTGAAATTATGATGTGCCCAGATTTCTATTACCCAAATTTTTTCCCACTAAGTATATGTGTGATGTAACAATGAAAGGACCCATTAGACTCTGAACAGAGTGGGCATGAGGCTGACAAAACCTTAACTTTATCAAGGCAAAATAGGATTCAAACCCACAATTATAGGTTCCTCACATACCCAAGGAATGCAATTCTGCACTGCACATTGCTGGGTCTTTGATAAAGGGACCACTTAAAAACTATGACACAGTCTTGTTTATAACAGGTGTTGAACATTACTGTAGACATTACCTGGCTCCAGCTTGATCACTTTCATGGCGGCAAGTGATCCTGTGTCCAGACTCTTAGCCTAGTGACAGCATAAACAGAAACAAGAATATTGAAATGATACACAGTATTCACTAACAATAACATTCCCCAATTCATACACACAATACATGTGTTTCCTATCTCAGCCTAGCCAAAAATAGCATTTGCAACTGTGTGTCTGACCAGATATGCACATATAGAGCACTGAAAGTTCAAGCATTGTATGTCAGTGTGGTCTTTTCAAGACTGGGAGAATGGTGAGGCTTGAGATTACTCCATGACAGCAATTTTCCTGTTAGTCCAAAAGTACACTTAACACATTACACCTATTTGATGAATGATACAGTGTGTTCAGTGTGATACAATATTTGATAGCAGGTATCCACGCTTCACATGTGGAAAGGAAGCAAAATCACCACCACATGTTACTTCTCAGATTGTCAGTGTAATGTCACATATATTATCAGGACAATATCATATTTGACAAGAGTTTGAAGAGTCTGTGAAGATTGAAAAAATATAATGCCTTTGCAATGTTGCAGCGAGTGGGAATTAGGAAATTTGTACTACCCTGCAAGAATCTGTACCAGTCCAGACATGTGGGCTAGAGTAAGCATGTTAATTTCCAACTCTGTTTGATATGTACGAAAACATTATAAAGATGAAAACATTATAAAGATGTAAGTACCTGCATTGAATGTTAATATTATTACGAGCCATAATCATCATCATCATCATAATTCCACTTGGACTCATCTTTTATAACTGTCTTACTCTTACAAAAAGGGAAACAAATATCTCAAAAGTGTCAACAAATCTATTCCATGATCCACCAACATGTACTCACTGTCAATGTTTATGTAATCAGCCTTTGCTTGAAACATATTGTATACATAACAATCATGTTGACATGCATGAGTGATCACAACAATGACTCAGTGTTATGTTAGGATTGTCCATGAGTAACATGGTACATGCATCAGGATACACATGATCTGTGTTAAAACAAATTATTTGGGGGTCTGGGGATTGTCAAATTTCCTGCTTTAGTATTTGGATCTATACACATGATACATTCCTGAAACTGGAAAGTTTTGTTAATATCAACATTAGGGTTATGACAAGGACCCCTTGACTTTCTGCTTAATTCTGAATAGTGATGCAACAGTAAGAGATCCTACAGAATTCCATACACAGTTTACTATGACTGATCCACATGAAGATGGTGGTAACAATTAGAATTCATGTTTATTTGTTTCGTAAATAATTCAATGAACTCATATACATGTACAGAGTGGAAGAGGTAGGCCCTATTAGTTTGCTACTTACAGATATCTTGATAATACAAAATAACTGCTAACCTCTACCTTACATTAACATGCAACATATACAGAAGAGCACAATAGTTTTTCAGTACAACATTATTTTACCATCAGAACGTGAGTGGTGAGAATTTAACATGACTCTATTTTACAAATTAGAGCATGTAAATTTATCACTGCCATACAGCTTTTTCAAAGTGTTTCTTTGACTTTGTTAATTCTCTAAAATGTTTTGACAGTTTCTGAGATAAATGTGAAGCATGTGAAATATTTAATACTTCTCACGTAATTTCTGACTAACTATTTGTTGACAATCAACTGACATTTGACGTTCTGGACACCTGGCGAACTGTCAGCCTTGGCAATACTGAGACAACAGCTACAAAACACCCCAAGCAGTCCCTAAAAACACTATACGGATACTACTTTCTGGACACGATCGTAATGGCAAAACGTCCGAATCAATACTTACACAGGTAAATGAAATATCACTGACAGTTGTGACATTTCGGATGGAGTTATCTTTGTGGTACTTCCACTCTGTGTTAAAGACGTCTTACACATTTCTGACATATTTGTCCGAAATTGGGTACACATATTACCGGGCATCGGACTTGCCTTACATACGTGTATTTTTTACAAACAATCAAGTTAGACGACCATGTTTACATGAAGGAAACAGGAGGAAATTATTCAATATTTGTGTCAAATATTCATGTCAAGTTTGCAATACAACCTTGTATACATCCCCGTATGTTCCGCTTCCCACTCTCTGGATAAGTTCAAAGTCATCCTGAGGGTTCCTACGAAGAATATCCGCTGACATTTTGGCAATCAGCAAGCCCCAAACCTGCTTAATTGAGTTATTTAACCACTTTTCTTTGCGTTTTCATGGTTAACTGTTTCTCAGAGGGCTGATCATATACTTCCGGACATGCGCAGTGGAACGTTAAAGTGCTTGGGCAATCATTCAGGGCATGCACCGGGCTGCCTCATGTGTCATATGCACATTGTGATGTGTGACGTCCACAACAACAACATGCGTCAATGGCAGTGGGAATTATATATGCTGAATTCAATTTTGTATCTTTGAAATTACTTATGGAAATAACTCGGCAATGGAGATATTACAATTTTGAATGGCCCTAGACAGTAGACTCGCCTATCTTATTACGCGTAATTTATCTTATCAGTGCAGTAACCGAGGAGTGTAAAACACGGTCATGATTCACCGTGAAGCGAAAAGCCAAGTTACCACGCACACATTGAGTTTATATGATTAGAATGCCTTCAGAGAGATACAGCATTTACGATATGGCAGATGCTCGTATCAATATGACGTAACACTATATGCCCATATTCAGAATATGGGATAAAATTATTTGAAAATTCTTTTTTTTTTCAAATTTCATCAGATAAAACGCGTTTATGGATGCCTTTTAGTAATCCTTTTTCCTAGCTAAGTGTTTTTTTAATGACTGAAATAATATGCCTAATGTTTGAATCAATGCTTGAATCAATGCTCTCTAACCCTCGTGATTGGCCACTGGTTTGTGCATACCGGATCAGGTAAAATATGTGTGCCCCGTTTTGCTTTTTTAGGATACTCTTTTGTGCATATGTGTTTATACTTTATTCACATTAATAATAAGAAAGGTTAAACTGCATACAGCCAAGCCCCTTTAACTCCGAACGATATCTGTCTCAGGTCAACTGGTGTCCTATGGACAAAGAGGATGCGATATTTGTCTTATCAAACTATATATCATTAAGTGTAATATTCATACCAGTAAAACAAATATATGTTGACCAGGTCTTGCATATTGCTGTATTATTACCGAATACTTTAATAATCTCATTTTATTCACATGGAATAGTGTAGAGCTAATTTCGCCCCATCTACCTTAATTGATTACCATGATGTCAGTCACTGGATTGTCTGGTTCAGATCCGAATACTTCTATAGGCCGCCGTCATTTACTGGAATATTGATGAGTGCGGCATTCAACAAATCCTACCCCCATCCCCACCCCCCCACCTTCACCAATGCACAAACATACGCCCCCTCCCCCCAACAGTCACCGCCACACACACCAGGATGTTTTCCCATCGTAGACACATGCTCAAGAGTTTACCTGATTATACATTTCGATCGGCGCAAAAACGTTTTATGGGGTTCAACCATAATTTCACATCCCGCTGTGATACGGGTTATATGATATCCCGATCCCCAGTACCCTACGCATGTGGTAGGGCGAAACCTATCGGATGGCCACATTATGTCTCATCTTACAATCACAGTGTGGACGGGACGTAACGACTTGTGTCTTGTCACGATTCGGTTATTTACAGACTGTCGTGATAGCCGGGTTGCTGGCTTTTAAAGCCCATGCGTATTTTTATATGCGTTTTTTTTCCCATGCATGACTTTGTCAGTTTACTTTAAGATTTCATTCATTTTCGATTAATTTTAGTTTTTTTAGACCATTGCAGAAAGACATACATTCCATACCGATCAAATCTTCCTGTTGTTTTTTGTCAAACGTATAAATCTATTTTACACCGTTGCTTCGCGTTGTCTCACACTCTGTTTGATAAACGACCCGACATCTGATATCGTGTTCAGCAAATAGCTATTTAATCTGGAGGTACTTACCATACACCTATACAACGCATGTCCAGATTTGATTAAACTCAAAGGAAAGCTGACACGTAAATTGAAAAGGTTTCAGATAAAGATAAACGGACCTGTTTTCAGATTTTACACGCGCTTCTCTCAGTATGAACTGCTTTGATTCACATTTTTATGAGTTACGTACCAGTAAAGCTAAACTATCTACTGTAACGGATGACAACTTTTGGATAGATGTTGTCAAACAAAAGCCACAACATTACAAGGATCTACACGGAAACGTTGCAGTATTATATGATAAAGAAGTTTTCATTCATAAAATATCTTGCGTTTCCTGCTTCTTTCAGCATTCTGTGAGATCAGCCCAGTGACATGTGCATACTCTCTTCGAGCCTCTGGCGTTTAGAAAATTAACCAATGTTACATTCGTCGTTCTCTGTAAATAATCCGCAAGACACAGGAAATCCAGACTATTGAGTAGGTTTTCGGTCTTAGTGGCGCTCGTTTACAAAGATTACTGTCAGAAAGGTCTGGGTGTTGCTCTCGGGGAGTTTAATGCGTTGAATACGCTATGGACTGACTGAGTTTAGTTTTACGCCGCTTTTAGCAATATTCCAGCAACATCAAGGCGGGGAACACCAGAAATGGGCTTCACACATTGTACCCATGTGGGGATTCGAACCCGGGTCTTCGGCGTGACGAGCCAACGCTTTAACCATTAGGCTACCCCACCGCCCCTGAATACGGTATGGATGTTTCGATTAATATTTCATTTGATTTTGACCTATTATTATGTTTAAATACTTCAAATATTTATGCATTATGTAAGGTATAATTCAACCATTTACTGTATTCTTGTGCGATTGTCCTTTTTGAAACCAAAAACATTTTACATACATCAGGCCATCGACATTAACTTAGCGTACAGTCACCAAGGTGAGGTTAAGTGGGGTTTAACGTCGTGCTTGAGAATATTTCGCTCATATGACGACGTGTGTATGTGTGACTGCTTGTACTAGCCCAGACTTAAGCTGGTTTTTAATAGTGCTAGCTCATTTAGATACCATACCGCAGTTAAGCATGAATACCCCACTCAGACACATTATACTGACTCCGAGCCGACCAGTCCTTGTTGTACCCATTAATGTCGAGCGCCAGGCAGGGACCAACTATCATATTTTAACTTCTTTTGGTATAACGTGTCCGGGGATCGAACCCGCGACCTTCCGCTCTCCGCGTGGACGCTCTAACCACTACACCACGGAGGCGATTACAATCAGTAAGGAAATATGCGACTAAGAGTTATAACACAGTTATAAGAAGTTATTAACTTAAGAAAAATCGTTACCTGATGACACAGAGAACATTTATATACAGTATACATTTATGAATGTCATAGACCGCACACAGTACTACAATACATCTCACTGGATTGTGTTCCTCAAAAATTCCATCCTTGAAGGTCTGGGTTAGAATTGATCCTCAGCAACCCATACTTGTCGTAAGAGGAGACTAACGGGATCGGGTGGTCAGGCTCGCTGACTTGGTTGACAAGTCTAACTGCGAAGATCGATACTCATGATATTGATCACTGGATTGTCTGGTCCAGACTTGATTATTTACAGACCGCCGCCATATAGCTGGAATATTGCTGAGAATATTGCTGAACTCACTCACAAATTCCATTGCAAACTGACTTAGATGGAGTCACACAAACTTAGAATTGAAGTAAAGCGCCAACAAAACAACACATTTGTATATTTTGTGACAAACATGGATGCAGAAAGTATGTTTTCACCTGTATGTGAAAACTATTGGGATATGAGAAACAAATACACTTTCGCCTGGTCCCATTTAGATACTGCTGTTAACCTTAACGGTCACATGCAACCAAAAAATCAAACATACTTTGAACAAAAATTATCACTTATTCATCACGTATAATATACATTGCTATACCCATACTCCATTGTCGGATTGATAACACCTGACTAATGGGGTAGCTCAGGTTGCCGAGGACCTAATCTACCAGGGCATTCCCTCTGAGTTGTAAACTGTGCGAAGCTGTGCGTCTCCTAACAAAATGCAGATGTTATTTTTCAATGTGGCTATCCCTAGTTTACGAAGTGTAAATATATTGAGCTGTACGCGGGTTTCCTTTCAACGGGAGCAACAACCCAACAGCTATGTGGGTGCTAATGAGACATTTCAATGTCTGATTCCTAGTCTTCTACCCTTCTGGGAAATACTGTAGAAACCTATGCTTCGTTTATAGTTAGAGTGTGGGTCTAACTATATTGTAGCTGAAAAGGAGTGCTTAAGTAATGATTTCATATTTCGCAATCAACCATGTCCTGGAGCCCGACCAGCCGAGCCGTTTTGTCGCCCATGACAACAATCTGATGTTGTTGGGACATGCATTCCTACCCGGACCCCACGAGTTTAGTTACAGGAAGACATAGCTGTAGTTGTATCATGATCTTGGACATTCTCGTGCACTTTATCAAATGTTAGCTCATATTATTTGATGCTGTACTAAAGACCTACAGATCGGACTTTTCTGTTGTCAATGATTTGAAGTGCCGCACTTTATTTGTTCCTGTCTTTTCCCTGTCTCTTCATTGCTTTGTGTTGATGCCACATCGAGGGCTTTGTTGACGATGCATCGAATCCTGGCTTTGTGTAGATTTTGCATTTGAATAATACGTTTCCTTGTGTGTGTTTTTATAAACTTGCGGATAATGCACATGTATATTTTAAGTTCTATACTTACTCTGTACGAAATCGGGAACATGTTGTAACATGCAATAAGATAACAAACAAAAGTGAACAGAAACAAATAGTTTATACAAAACATGTATGTAATTACTGTAAACAAATATAATCAAATCAAACCATGGAGGCATCTGGAAAGGATTTCTATAAATGTTATGTCACATATAGCCGAAATAGTGTATCAAGCGACTTCATATTTCAGGATATATATATCACAAATGTGTATGTTTTCTTTGTTCTATTTATGTTGTATATGTCTCTAACGAAAGAACGGCAACACACTCGACTGAGACCACGGACACAGCTGTCGACTGGTGTGTGTGTGTGTGTGGGGGGGGGGGGGGATGTCAGAGGGTGGGAGCTGAATCGAGCTTGGGAGTCCTATGGTCAAAGAGAAAGGGTTTAAAGTACGTGCAGAGCAGAGCAGAGCAGAGCAGAGAAAGAGTTAAACTGTGCTCTAAAAGATTGAATGGAATGCTCCTTGAAATAACTTTTGTTTAAAGTTTTACAAATGACATTTATCATAAATAAGAGTTAACCTTATAATCATGATGGCTTAGATTGGGATACTGTGAAAGCATCAAGCAGATAAGTAAAATGATCCGTTTTAGCACCAATTGGGTACATTCAGACCAAATTACGATGTTCAAGAATTAAAATCTAAAATGAAGGTTGTACTATTTTGGTTTCTTTGTTTTGTAAATATATCTGCCATGTCCTTTCGATAAAGCACGGGTCAGCAGGACTGGTGGTGGGGGGTGGGTGTTGTGGGTGTTATAAAAGGGAGAAGAAACTAGCTAGCCAGATAAATACACATAGCTATAAATAGAATGTAAAATTGACATTGCTTTGGCATTTTTTGAAAACTCAAAATTGAATATGAAAGCAATAAATGAACATTGCACATCAACATAGAAATTTTGCTTACGAGAGGAATAACGTCATCATATCACGCTGGTTAGATGTGGATTTCAGTTATATGTGACGATGTATCGGCTCGTTGTTGGAGGAAAGCCTCATTTAAGGATATATTTTTCAGGCATCTACAGGAAGTCAAAATAGACTCCCTTGTGTCAGTTACTTCTTTCATAATAAATTCTGTGCGCGATAGTAAGAAAGAAACGTTGCCAGGTTCTACCGATCAGGCTTAGTGTGTTTACTCAAATTACTGGCTGCACTGCGCGAATATTATATATATTTAATATTTCCTCCTTGGAAGTATTTGTTATATTTTAAACATTTTTCATATTTGCAGTGACGGAGTCTGCGTACGTAAGACTTGCTTAGACTTCTTGATCCTTGTGACAGAAATTGTTTTACCGTTGCGGAATATTCGTTTGTTGTTTTATTAATATTTCAACACCAAAGACGCGCAGGACAAAATCCGCGTGAGATATAACTGGTTCTGCTGTTTATTGCGTACTCATGTATGTAGACAGGAGCCTAGCCAAGAGTGCGATATGATAGAGTTACCTCCCGTTCCAAAGAACGACAACTCTTACCCATTCCATTGCACGTGTGTATGTTTTGGTAAATTTCTCACTGGAAGGAGGTTTGGTCTGAAACGTCTGTTACAATCAGAAGGTTTTGTTGTATACATTACTGGCCACAACGCATGTATGTTAACACTTTGAGAAGCATGATTCGTTTCTGTATTTTCTGAAACATGTTCGGTACAGTAGAGGTAGAGATTAGGCATCAAATGCAGCTGTCTTGGGTAATGGACCTACTACATCGTTGTCACAATGTTCAAGTTGTACTGTAAATATAGTCTGTATTCTCAAGGTGTTCCGATGAAAACATATTTTTAAAAATCGAAAATTCAGAAATATATGAAATTCAAGTGTATACGGACGATTTAACAAGATCTAACATATTGTGATTTGCCACAGACATAACAGGTCCTGATGGCTGTTTCATGGTCTGGATGAATATTCGTTTGATGCTCTAATTATTTCATTAAACTTTCAGTTTCCCCACTACCCGTGAAGGTTCGGGTTAGAATTGATCTTCAGCAACCCATGCTTGTCATAAGAGGCGACTAACGGGATCGGGTGGTCAGGCTCGCTGACTTGGTTGACACTTGTCATTGGTTCCCAATTGCGCAGATTGATGCTCATGCTATTGATTACTGGATTGTCTGGTCCAGATTCGATTAGGTGGAATATTGCTAAGTGTGGCGTAATACTAAACTCACTCACTCAGTTTCCCCACTCTCACCAGGAAAACGACCTTTCATCAGGTTATTTGTAATTCTCATATAGTTAAACATACCCCTTCAAATGTTTACATAAAAATAGGGTCAGTAATTTTGTATCTGTATTGTGTTTGTCAACAGGATACAAATGGCAGACAATAAATATTTTGTTGGCCAAGTTGCTGATTTACTAGGAGGCAAGAAGATAAAATCAAACACGACGACCCCCTCCAAAACCAAACTTGCTGCTCTCTTTGATGTCAAGACAGAAAAAAAGACTCCCACAGAGAAGACCAACAAGTTAAAAAAATTAAAGACTATAAAAATTGAAATCAAGACAGAAAAAGATGTGAAAGAAGAAAAGGTAATTATCATAGATTCTTTACGGTAGTCCTGGAAATTTCACAGTGTGAGGCACTCTCTAAATAATTTAGTGTCACAATCCTGTATTTGTTCGTTTAAGGCACAGATTTGCTGAGACTTTTATTCTTTGTCACCACCACCTTGCCCATGCTTGTGGATTTTACCAGAGTTGTAAATGTCTTAAGACATGCTCATTTTTTTAATGCCTTGATATAACTGTTCAAAGTGCACTAAGCAGTACTTATTCACATTCATAACAGTGAATTAAGGTACTGTCAATTAAAGGTCACATGCAACCAAAAAATCAAACATAATTAAAACACAATTATCACTTATTCATGACATATAATATACATTGCTGGTTACGAAAAAATATATAAACAAAACATAAGCGTACAATCGCAAATCGAAAGTGCAAAATTGTGTACTTCGGTTTACTTCCCAAGAAACGAAGCAGCCGGGATACCGAACCCAGTCAGAGCGGGTGGGTGTGCACTCAAGTGTAACGGCTGGTTCATTTGCAGATGCCTTCACGGCTAATTGTGTGTATATATACAGAGAGATGTTAGGTTTTGTAAATACATGCTCATTTTTTGTGTATAACATTTTGCAATCAACAGACATCATAACATGTCATGTGTTCAAGTATCACACCTGCCTGTCTGTGTAATTACATAATGTTATAGAGACCGAACTCGGGCCATAAATCAATGTGTTTTGTTTATGGTGTATAGCCTGATTGGTGTTAAATTCAAATTGCATGTGGTCAGTGATAGCAGCTGTGTATTGAATATTGTCATTAGCAGACAGGCAGGCAGACACACAGGTGTCAATAAAACAAGACATTGAGTTTTGTCTGTGACAACGACAAATCTATATCACAGTTAGAAATTCTGTCAACGCTAAATAATAACATTACTTTTGAGTATCGAACTCAGAAAGTGACTCGGTAAGAAGAACGTGTGGTGAAATAGACAAATGAAATTATATAAACAGTTAATTTACTGTCATAACATATTAAAAGCTCGCGCCTGTGAGATATCAACAAAACATTAGAAAAATAGCTCACACCAAAGCCTTCACCGAGTATTCACCCGACAACCCGCTTCCAAGCTGCGTGAACCTATTTACTTGCGCACGTGCTATGAGCGCAGCCCAGCTGTTGAAACCCGTTTTCCCCAGAAAAGTCTGGGGAAAATTAGTGAAACGTTTGAACTCCGATTTCGCCCGGTTTTTTCATCGCGTTATTTTTCAACTTTATAAGCTGAATTTGCATTTTTGACGATTTGTTTCGGTATGTCCATACCGAAAGGTATCAGAATCTGCAAAGTTCTGTTTTACGTTGCATGTGACCTTTAATGTAGGGGTGGTGGGCTACCCAAAATATCACATTGGAGGAATTATATTATGATCACAAGCATTGTGTCTTGTCATTAAAACCTGAAAGGTAGTCTTGGAACAGAATGGATTCTCTGTATCTGATATCTTGTGCTTGTTGTAATTTATATGATGTTTACATAAAGGGCTCAATCTAATGAGGATCAAATAGGTATGTTATGTGATTTAAGTGATCCTGTGTCGCAGCACCACCGTGGTATGCTGCACATTTTTTTGTCCCCTGTTGTGATGTTGCGAAAAGCAGCATAAAACCACTCGCATACCCAATCACCCTCTGCCAGGAGAGCGGAAGGTCGCAGGTTTGAGCCCCAGCTGCGTCATACCAAAACATGTTTAAATATGGTACTTGTTGGTCCCTGCCTGGCACGAAGCATTAATGAGTACAACAAGGACTGGTCAGCTCGGAGTCAGTATACTGTGCCTGAGTGGGGTATTATTGCTTCACTGCGGTATGGTATCTTAGTGAGCTAGCACTATAAAACCAGCTTAAGTCTGGGCAAGTAAAAGCAGCCAAACATACACATGCATGCACATCACATATGAGCGAAATATCATCAACTATGATGTTAAACGCCATTTCATCTCATCTCACCTCACTCACTCAATAACCACCCAAGCACCAACCCACCCACCCACCCACCCACTCACTCACTCACTCACTCACTCAGTGGTATGCAATGTTGATCTTACTGTGGACTTCTTTGTTTAAAGAATACATTAAAATCATATCTTATTCATTTATTTCAGAAGTCAAGTCCAGGTACTGAAGATCAGATGCCGAAGGAAGCATTAAATAAGGAGCAGAAGAAGAAGAAGAAGAAGAAGAAATCCAAGAAGGCAAAAGAAGAGGGATTCTGTCCTCCCAAGGGAATTGTGCATGAATCTCTGAAGGAAAGTTCAGAGGAACAAAAGAAGCAGTAAGTATCAATAAGGTATCTTGTTGTCAAGGAGTGTTAAGAGGCATTGTAATAGGGGGAAATTGTGCATTATTTCTCTAAATGAAGGATGCATTGGTTTCTGATCCAATGAAATGCTAGCTGTCGATAATCCCTTTCATTTCTTATTTTGGTTTTTACAAAAGAAAACATACACATGACATATATTCCTGCTGCATGTTGGGTGTAGATGCTATGGTAGCGTCACAAGCTATAGGGTGTGTAAATTGTGTTACTTGTATTTGACTTTTGATACTTACATTCAGAACTCTCCGTTCCTCTGATCTTGGTTATTCCGTCTTGTTCCAGAAAACCGAAGAAAAGGAAGAAGGAGAAAGACTCTGATGACGAAACTGAAGCTGCTCCCAAGAAGAGAAGAACAAAGTACAAGAGGGATAAAACAAAAGACAAGAGGACAGTCTTCATTGGGAACCTCCCGCTGGATGTCAAGAAATCAGTTGAGTTATTTGCAACAGATGATACTGAATACACAAGTTAGAAAACAGACAACATTGTTTAAAGGGGACCCAGTTTGACCCCAGATTGTGACAGCTTGTGAGTGAGAGTGAGTGAGTATGGTTTTACGAAGCTTTTAGCAATATTCCAGCAATATCACGGCGTGGGACACCAGAAATGGGCTCCACACATTGTACCCATGTGGGGATTCGAACCCAGGTCTTCGGCGTGATGAGTGGACGCTTTTACCACTAGGCTACCCCACCGCCCCGATTTTGCCTAGGGGTGAGAGGTGTATGGCTCATCTAAAGCATCATATTTCACAGGACAGTGTTAACTCCTCACTAGTTGCAAGGTTCGACTGGTCGTTGGTTTCGATTGGTCATGAATCTTATTGGGATTTAGTTAACAACCATTAGTTACAGAGTAACTTATTTGTCATAAGAGAATAAATGGTGTTAACAGCATTCATACGTGACAGATAAAAAATCCATTATTCCAAGTTATAAGTTGGTTATTCTATATATTACTTACTAACATGTTGAGATAGAAACTGAAGAAACATGTAATGTGTCATACGGATACTATACTGAACTTGGCTTATTGTTCAGAAGTAATCAGTTTGTGTCACAAACATCATTATGATGTCATAGCCTATTTTCCTCCACCATTAAGGTATCAGTTACCGGTAACCTATTAGCATTAAGAGCCACTAACGAGTGCAAACATCAGAAAGTTATTACAAGTTATCATTTGATGCTCTTTGATTAGATCAGATCCCCAGCTACCTATCATTGTACAATGTGACTGAATGGATCATGTGCTCATAATGTCGAGTTCTAGGCACCTCTAATGCCCCAAACTGACATCAACAATGATCAAGGTATATATTGTCATTGACAGGGTTGAAACACTATCCTTTTATCATGTTTATACTGCATCCCTGTATTGAAACTTAAGCATAGTTTGAGCATGGACTTTTTTTTATTAAAATGCACTCTGTCCGTGAACTTTCGTCTTTTCCAGAGCAGAACTTCAAAACTTCAAAACTGTTCACTATTTCTTCACCAAACTTGGCATATACTGGTAGACAGATCTGGTGGTGTACTGGTGCCTTTTCGTAGTTTTGGATTTCTGTATAAAATATATTTTTGCGTTTCCATGGCAACAAGTTCGACTTTGACTGACATTGGTGGTAGTGTTCTTTTCCGGAGCAGAACTGTAAAACCATTCACTATTTCTTCACCAAACTTTGCACATAGATTGGTCTGGTGAAGTACTGGTGCCTTTTGGTTGTTTTGGATTTTTGAATAAGATATCTTTTGTGTTTCCATGGCAACAAGTTCGACTTCGACTGAATTTGGTGGTTGTGCTCTTTTCTAGAGCAGAACTTTAAAACCGGTCGCTATTTCTTCACCAGATTTCTACATAGATAGGTCTGGTGGTGAACTGGTGCCTTTTGGTAGTTATGGTATTCTGAATAAAATATTGTTTGTGTTTCCATGGCAACAAGTTTGGCTTCGACTGAATTTGGGGGTTGCGCTCTTTTCCGGAGTGAAATTTTGAAACCATTCACTATTTCTTCACCAAACTTGGCACATAGATAGGTTCGGTGGTGTACTGGTGCCATTTGGTAGTTTTGGATTTTTCATTTTTTTTCACTTTATTTCTTTTTTTCGCATTGGTACAGTTTTATCATTCATACACAACATTATTTCAAATACACAGCACAATTAAGTAACAAGCATAAGTGAGATTGAGTAGGTTATGTAAATAAGTTGTGGCATGATGACCAGAAAGTCGTGAACTTGCTATATTTGCATACAGAGTATGCATTATATTTATGGAGATTGTATCTGTGGTTTAATTTGGCTTTGAGACTTTCAAGGGTTGGACGTATATTTGCTAGTTTTCTGGAATATATATATTCCTTTGTTATGATAAATATCAAGTTCAGAACATCGTTACGTTTTTTATGAAAGCCCAAAAGGATTGTTTTCGGATCCAGGTTTATAGTAGTGTCTGTTTTATCTCCAATCCAATTTAAAAGGTCTTGCCACAGCCTATTTACGTATCTGCCAAATTCAAAATTATCTTGAAATAGGATGGCTACACCTCTAGACTGACTTGTAAATGAACAACAGCGTACTTCAGATGATCCCCATTCTAGTTTAACTTTCTGCTCTATATCCTTAGTAAAGTGTGTATCTTGTAAACAGTAAATATTTCCATTTCTTTAAGTTTTCAAAAACATCAATTCTTTTCTTTTCATTATTTATTCCTTGGCAATTTGTAGAGAAAATATTTAGTTTCTGTGCCATCATGTGAATTTTTTGTGCTAGCAACCTGAGTTATTGTTTACACTTGTTGAGCAAACAGCCAACTGTACCAATGTTATAATGTAGTGCTTCCCTGTGCGAAATGAAAGTGAATATCTTATTGAAAAACATAACTGAAAGATTAAACCAAGGATGAAAGCTGTGACTTCCGTCATGTAACCCTACGGCTTTGGAATTATGCATAAAATATTTTTTGTGTTTCCATGGCAACAAGTTTGGCTTCGACTGAATTTGGCAGTTGTGCTCCTTTCTGGAGCAGAACTTAAAAACCTTTCAATACTCTCCTTCCACTTTGCCATATACACACCAAAACATTTGACATAATCATAACTACAGTCCGTTTGACTTCATTTGAGACTGATGAATTGCTCACTAACACAAAATCTAATACATGCAACAAAATCAAACTTTGCAAAGTCACATGAAATCGACAGACCAACTCTGATGATTTGTCTCATAATTTTGGACACCCGAATAAAAAAGTTGTGTAACAAACGATCATTATTTTGTTGTCACTTTTCGCATTTTCTTACGAGGGGGGACCGCTTGCTGGTGTGCAAGTTGTACGTGTGAAATTGAAATTTCACTGCACACGCTTATTGGTTACCTGGCTGTTTTACCAGCAAGTTGTCATCCCTCGTAAGTTTGATTTTGTTGCATGTATTAGATTTTGTGTTAGTGAGCAATTCATCGGTCTCAAATGAAGTCAAACGGACTATAGTACACATATTCATAAGAGTATTTTGCCATTTGGGGGGGATATTGATGACTCTGTCTGCTTGTAGAGCACCCCTCCACATACTGTGAAGGGGTCTTGAAAGTTGATGAAGTATGAGGGCCAGCCTCAGTTTGTAACTTTTAACATTTTGTTAATGACAAGAACCCCATTACTTCCAGACTTAGATTTGAACACTGCTGACAATGTATTTTTTTCAGGCCATGAAAGCCCTGTTTGCAGACTTTGGCACAATTCAAAGTGTACGATACCGATGTCCAGTAAGTATAATTGTCTTTAGGATACAACTGTTGGTCAGAATGTAATGGAATGTAGATCTATCTTGTAGAAACCTTAAGATTCAAGCATTATCAGCTTGTTCTTCGTATTTTAGATTATTTTTCAGATTTTATGATAAATTCTCAATATCATTGATTTTTTTCAGCCTGTGTCAGACCCAAAGGTTTCAAAGAAAGTCACCTTCATTAAGTAAGTACTTATAACCTGTGACTGAAGTTGTATTTCATTTTAGAAGTTTTAATTGTTGAGAAAAGTTGTAAGTAAATCAGCTGACTTCAAATTATATAAGAAATCTTTCTGACCTACACTTCAGGGTTTGAAATCTACCTGTCCATGAAACTTTGGAAATGCTAGTGACATTTCCATTTTGACTATCATTTTCACCCTAAGGTATACCACTAACCCTTAGCATCTGTTCCTTGCACACCATTGGAAATAAAATAAATGTTTAGCCTTGGAGTATTGGAATCCATTGCTCCCTTTTACGACTGGGTACACACTGTTGACTTTGTATATGTATAAATATGGGTATAAATAAACACGTAAGTTATAACAGTAGCTGATTGTGTTGAAGAAACCTGCAGGCAAACTGAAATGACAAGCCAGAGGTAAATATTTGCATCCTTGGCTGTGAAAGAGGCCATCTTTAATGGCATACCTTGATGGTTACTGTTATATAGAACATGACCAGGGTAATCTGTACCTGGGTCCTATTCCACAAAGCAATCATAGCCCTCAGGTGAGTGTAACTCCTCTACCTTCACCAAGACTTACACCTGTCCTAGCACTATGATAAGCTTGTAGAACAGGGCACTGAACAGCAGCATGTAACTAGTGCTAGTAGTAAAGTACACTAAATAACTTGTACCTACTGTTGCCTCTCTGTGTCATCCAATATACATGCCTGTTTGCTTAGCTTTTTACCATCTTGACATATTTCTTTTATTAGCATTTACTGAAAATGGTGGTATGGCAAAACATGACGCAGATTCTGATTGCATGATACCTTTAGATGAGCGTCAATAAATGAGTCAGGCAAATTAAACAGACACTGGTTGATGTTAGCAACCTCTTGTTAGCCTGGCAGTGTTGGTGACTCTCTCACATTCTGCATGGCCACATGGAAGCCTGAGACTTAAGCCTGTTGTATCTTGACATGAATATGATGTATCGTTGCTTTACTTGCAGGAAAAGTTTTCACCCCAACAGAAGTAATATTGTGTGTTTCGTGTGCTTTGAGGATGAAGTGGCTGCAAAAAAGTCATTGAAATTGTAAGTTTTGTTTTATTTCTGAAAGTTATAAGGCAACTAAGTATTTGTTTGAAATGCTGTCCGTAATTTTGTTTTGGAAAGCTCATTTAGTAAACAGTATGATAAAACCAACACTTGAAATATCTTCAAATATTCAAGAGATGTTTATCATTTTACATGGGGGACAGGTGGATTTGTCAGAGTTGATGACCATTTGATCTTGAGTTACACAAGCTTATCAATAAAACCATGTGAAAAGGGGACTGGGTGGTTACGCTATGAATGGTGGTTACCATGGCAACCATAGTTCTTTCCTCATCTTATCAACCAATGGTTTGTCAGGACATTACACTCTGTAAATTCCATGGCAACCATAGATCATTCCTCATGTTATCAACCACTGGTTTGTCAGGACATTTCACTCTGTAAATACCATGGCAACCATAGATCATTCCTCATGTTATCAACCACTAGTCCCGATCTGAGTAATCAACAAGCGATACCAGTATAGTCAGTGTTAAATATGGACATATGTCATTACTATACATACTTAAGATATTAGTGACATAGATATTAATATTTTATTTTAAAATTAGTTCATTTCCACTATATATCCAATGTTATTACAGTGTTCTTGATTCTTACTTTCTTAGAAATGGCCATGAATTAAATGGATACCATTTACGAGTTGACCTTTCATCTAACAACAAGAAGGTAAGTATGTTTAAATTTCAGATTCATCTTGGTTTAGTTTCAGATATAACTGGCTAAGGGACCGTTCATAATTTGTGGCTAGTTGGTGGAGGGTGATGATGATTTCTATGGAGAAGCATGTACAATGTGAATTAACCCCAATGGGCTCAGTCGAGGGAGCATTTTTGTTGTTGGAATATTACATAATAGTTCATGATTGTCTGGTCCAGACTAGAATATTTACAGACAGCCATCATATAGCTGGAATATTGCTGAGTGTGGCGTTAAACAACAAACAAATTTGTAGACGTTTGAGTTCCCTTTGACCACTGAGCAGTTTGAGTAAATTTCACAGGCAGGATTTTTTATTACTTGGGTTATCGATTCTAAAATAAGGAACTTGACAAAAAGAGCTGAAAGTGCAATTTTTGTCTGCTCAGTGTAAGCTGACTTGTTTATCAAAAAACTGAAAAGATAACAGAAACCAACTCTAATGGAATGGTGACTTATTGAGGTTACTTTTGAACATATTGAGCAAAATAATGAATGTATGATTGTAATGAGTGTATGAGGTTGTAAGGCTAACGGTATCGGGTGGTCAGGCTCCCTGACTTAGTTGGCACATGTCATCGTATCTCAATTGCGTAGATCGATTTGTATAATGGTTGGATTGTCTGGTCCAGACTGACCGCTGCCATATAGATGGAATATCTCTGAGCGCAGCATTAAACAACAAACAAACAAATGATTGTACAGGTATTTAGTTCTTATGTTTCTTTCTCACCAACTACCTCACCTGTCTACAAGTACAACCAGGTTTGTCACAAACGATCATTTCATCAAGAAATACAGTTGTGATATTTGATGTGACAATTTGTCTGTAAATGTGATGTTTCAACCAATGAATAGCTGTGCGTTCACTATGTACCAGCCAACATTGTTATATTCATGTCAGTAAAGTCAAGATGATTGCTCATCAGCTAGATGAATATTAATTACCATGATTATAATGTTTTTGTTTCGGAATACAATACTAATGTGTGCTTATATAACTGTTGTTTCTTTTATTATTGTTTTCTTTCAACAGCACAACAAAAATAATTCGGTTTATGTTGGGAACCTTTCCTATGGTAAGTTTGTTTTGACCTAATAAAACAACGAGATACCCAACAAAGATATCGAGATTAGCATTTATGTTGGAAAGACAATTCCCACTGGGGGTTATGATTACTTATGTATCCATGAAGGAATAGCAAGATGTAAAGTGCTGCTGTGCAGAGTTACCTCCCCTTAGCTGTTTGGGATCCAGTAGTAGCCTCAAGCACCCTGTGAGAATAGCTTCCCAGCAAACTAGCTCCCCAAGTAACCAATGCTTGTTGTACCCCTTGTCTCCTTGTGATTAATCTTGTGATATCTATCCATGTGTTCTGAGCTCTCCATGCTTGTCTGTGTGTCCTAGCAGTGACTCAGTCGACTGTGTGTCATTGTCCTCTTCAATCAGAGACCGCCTCCGTGGTGTAGTGGTAAGAGCGTCCGCCCGGAGAGCGGAAGGTCGTGGGTTCGATCCCCGACCGCGTCATACCAAAAGACGTTAAAATATGGTACTTGTTGGTCCCTGCCTGGCGCTCGGCATTAATGGGTACAACAAGGACTGGTCGGCTCAGAGTCAGTATAATGTGTTTGAGTGGGGTATTCATGCTTCGCTGCGACATGGTATCTCAGTGAGCTAGCACTATAAAACCAGCTTAAGTCTGGGCTAGTACAAGCAGCCGCACATACACATACACACGCATGCACGTCGTCATATGAGCGAAATATTCTCAAGCACGACGTAAAACCCAATTTCACCTCACCTTCAATCAGAAGATATGTGCTATAAGTTCTTGGACCTCTCCGTATCATGACAGACTACTGAGTATAGTGACAGAACCTGGCAAACCATTGACTGACAGGCTGAGCAATGTCCATGTTGTAAAGAAAAGATAGGCAATCGGCAATGTCACAGAGACTTACAAGAGATAGCTTTTATAACCACCCAGAAATCCTGCTCTGAGCCACTGATTAGCCTGGCCTACATGTAGTTATTCATGGGCTTACATAGTTGGAATATGTTAGTAATCACTGAATCACTCTTCATATTCTGGAAGAATTTACTGATTGTTTAGATGAGCCACAGAGCTCTGAAAGTGCTATCATGCATCACTGTAAGTATATTTTTCAGATATTGAAGAAAACATGGTGTGGAAGCACTTTGAACCGTGTGGATCCATCGAGAACGTCCGGGTCATCAGGGACCGACAGACAGGATTGGGCAAGGGATTTGGCTATGTGCTGTTTGCTGTAAGGATATTAAAGAAGTGTTCGATACAAAACGTTTTGACTCGTGAAGATCCGGGTTAGAATTGATTTTCAGTAACCCGTGCTTGTCGTAAAATCGGGTGGTCAGGCTTGCTGACTTGGTTGACACATGTCATCGGTTCCCAGTTGTGCATATTGATCACTGGATTGTTTGGTCCAGACTTGATTATTTAGAGACCGCCACCATATAGCTGGAATATTTCTGAGTGCGGAGTAAAACTAAACTCACTCACTCACTCGCAAATGTTTTTGTAACTTGTCAAATGAGCAATAGTTCTTCATCAGGATTTGTAGAATATATGTGTTGTTTCTTCTCACTCACTTGGGCCAGTGGGAATGGCAAGTGGTTGAAATGTTTGCTTGACATGTCTGAGGTGTGGGAAGGTTTTGACAAAAGATTTTGTTATTGTGTTTGCTTTTTGTTTAACACTGCACTCAGCAATATTCCAGGTATATAGTGGCGGTCTGTAAATAATTTAGTCTGGACCAAACAATCCAGTGATCCCAATTGTCTCACTACTTTACCAGCCAGGATTATGTAGCTGGAATATTGCCTAGAGCAGCATTAAACAACCAACATGCAAAAGTAGTAAACATCCCAGGCTTGCCTCATTGTGTGCTGATCTCCCACTGGACTCTGATTAAGCAACTTAAATACAACACACTCATTCTTCTCTATTAATGCAGAGGAAATATATTATGTACATAGTTATTTGTGTTTCCAGGAGAAGTCCTCAGTAGACCTGGCCCTTCAACTAGATAAGTCTTTGCTGAACGGGAGGAAGATCAGAGTTACTAACTGCAAAAGTGTGCAGAAGAAAGATTCTTTGAAAATATCCTTTTATATCATTTCGATATTGAGTGACTACATGGAGTCTTGGCGCAACACGTGTCAGCTAAATAGCAGCCAAGTTCATGTGTGGTCTTGGGGTTGGCCTTGGGTGGTCTTGGGTGGTCCTGGTAGTTGGCAACACTGTTTGGCATTGGTGGTCTTAGTGGTTGGCAAAATATGGTCCTTAGGTATGGTTGGTCCTGTGGGTTAACCATGGATGGTCAAAGGGGTTCACATGGGTGGTCCTGTGGGTTAACCATGGATGGTCAAAGGGGTTCACATGGGTGGTCCTGTGGGTTAACCATGGATGGTCAAAGGGGTTCACATGGGTGGTCCTGTGGGTTAACCATGGATGGTCAAAGGGTCCACATGGGTGGTCCTATGGGTTAACCATGAATGGTCAAAGAGTTCACATGGGTGGTCCTGTGGGTTAACCATGCATGGTCAAAGGGGTTCACATGGGTGGTCCTGTGGGTTAACCATGGATGGTCAAAGGGGTTCACATGGGTGGTCCTGTGGGTTAACCATGGATGGTCAAAGGGTTCACATGGGTGGTCCTGTGGGTTAACCATGAATGGTCAAAGAGTTCACATGGGTGGTCCTGTGGGTTAACCATGCATGGTCAAAGGGGTTCACATGGGTGGTCCTGTGGGTTAACCATGGATGGTCAAAGGGGTTCACATGGGTGGTCCTGTGGGTTAACCATGAATGGTCAAAGAGTTCACATGGGTGGTCCTGTGGGTTAACCATGCATGGTCAAAGGGGTTCACATGGGTGGTCCTGTTAACCATGCATGGTCAAAGGGGTTCACATGGGTGGTCCTGTGGGTTAACCCATGGTTAACCATGGATGGTCAAAGGGTTCACATGGGTGGTCCTGTGGGTTAACCATGCATGGTCAAAGGGTTCACATGGGTGGTCCTGTGGGTTAACCATGCATGGTCAAAGGGTTCACATGGGTGGTCCTGTGGGTTAACCATGCATGGTCAAAGGGTTCACATGGGTGGTCCTGTGGGTTAACCATGGATGGTCAAAGGGTTCACATGGGTGGTCCTGTGGGGGTTCAAAGGGTTCACACCATGGATGGTCAAAGGGTTCACATGGGTGGTCCTGTGGGTTAACCATGGATGGTCAAAGGGTTCACATGGGTGGTCCTGTGGGTTAACCATGGATGGTCAAAGGGGTTCACATGGGTGGTCCTGTGGGTTAGCCATGGATGGTCAAAGGGGTTCACATGGGTGGTCCTGTGGGTTAGCCATGGATGGTCAAAGGGGTTCACATGGGTGGTCCTGTGGGTTAGCAATGGATGGTCAAAGGGGTTCACATGGGTGGTCCTGTGGGTAAACCATGGATGGTCAAAGGGGTTCACATGGGTGGTCCAGTTGTTAGTCCTATTGTTTGCCATTGGTGGTCATCCAGGGTTGCAAAAGGTGGTTCCTAGGAATGGGCGGTCCTGTGGGTTGGTCATGGTTGTGTACATGGGTGGTCCAGTACCTAGTCCTATTGTCTGCCATTGCTGGTCTTCATGCTTGGTAACAGGTGGTCCTGGTGTTTGTCAATGGTTGTCATCGGGCTGGCAATCGATAGAGAGAACTGGCCATGGATGATGTGCTGGAGGTTGTACATGAGTGGTCCAGAGTTTGTTGATGGAGGATACTGTTTGTTTAACATCAGCAGCCCTGTGAATAAACTTTTGGTCCGGCTCTGCGACCAGGCAGATTTACAATTTCAGTATTTCAGTTGTATCACCTTGTGTCAGATCATCTGTGTGCTGTGTGTTATTGTCCTTAATTCTGTTGTACAAACATCCTGTGAGACAGAGACTGCTGAAGAAGGCCAAGAAGATGGGGATGAAGCCGACCAACCTGCGTCCAGGCGAGATAAGGAAACCCAAGTCCATGAAGGACAAGTCCAAGAAGCCCCGCCACAGAGACAGAGTCAAGGAAGCCTTTGCTGCTACCCCTCCTGCTACCCCTCAAACCCCGCAGCCTCATAACAGAAAACACATCAAGTTCGACTGAACCAGGGGTGCTCAGTTTGAGTTTCTGGAAAATCCTTTTGAAGGTGCATATTTTTGGGCAGGTGCTTGCAGCCAAACATCTCTCCTGTTAGTGTTGGGAATCGGAAACCAAAACCAATATCGATTATTGGAGGACTTGAGGTGAACGATTATCGATTATCATCAAAATATATACATTTTTAATGTAATCACCAATTTTAAGGGGTTTCCCTAGTTTTTTTCTAATGAATGTTTTTTATAACTAATACAGTCATGCAATGAAATGCACACATGCAAGAAAGACACTGGAATTGTAATTAAACAATAAAAGTGTTTAAAATTTTACAATGCGCATAGCGTTACATTCTTGAGCACATGTTTGTTCGTGAATATATTCGTCAAATTTAATGGTTAGCTTAATTCATTCAGGTGTGTTATACTTAAACAAGCAAGTTCCGATTAATTGAAAATATGTTTTTTACAATCGATCATCATTTTTAATCCTTCTTTCGATCAATGTTTGATTATTTTTGATCATCGGAACACCACTACCTCCTGTGCAACCATCAAGTGGGATGTCAATTTTGTTAGACAACACTTGTGTATTTCCATCAGAACAGAATGAGGTTCCATGAGACATGAGAAATGCAACAAATGGATGCCACACTACAGTGTTAACTATCTGAGTGTTCAATCCTGAGGATGTAGTGTCGCCATGTTGTGACATTACCCATATTCTGTCCACTGAATGAATATTTTATGAAGTAAGGAACCTACACTCCGCTTACTAGGATAATCTGTTGTTTGTCAAGTTTCACATAGGTTATTCTGTATATTTCCCATCACCTGTTTTTCAGAAAGTAGATGCTGAAAATTATGTGAAATGTTAGTCCACAGGGAAACTTGTTTTGATCCAAGGATTTCATTGACAATGCATGACATCATATCTGATTGTTCTTAACAGTGGATGATGTTACATCTCATTGTTTTCCCCTATGGAGCAGTGTGATGTCATCACAGCAACTGAGCATTAACAATTGTTAAATGAGCAAATATGTAGTGACTGTTCCACAAATATTTAGTTTCTTTAATGGAAATGAAATGTTGGTAGTTTGTGACTGTTTGCTACAAATCTGTTGTGTGTACATAAATGTATTTTACAGTTCATTTGATTAATGAAGAAACTATGAATGTTTCTTATCATGTGTAAATAAATGTACATAATGCAAGGTGAAACTAGAATTGTCAGCTTTTGTTTGGCTGCATGACATCTCATATGATTGTTTGGTGTAGGTATACACCTTTGAACAGTTTTTTGCAAGTAAAGAATCTACATATGCAAAGCTATTTTTGTATTTGTATGATCAACCCCTACCTGGAGAGGCGTGGTGTGTGTTGACTGTACAGTTAGGTACAAGTTGAATGGTGCATCAACAAAGCTGTTTACAAGGAGAGGGTTTCCATTACAACATTTGCCCAATTGTTGGACATCTGGAACTTACGTCACTCCAGCCTCCATTCGCAGATGAACCTGCCATTGCAGCGTCCCCTCACTCATTTATCACTGATAACAGGGTATGGGTGTATTGGACAGATGTTGAGTCCTAATTGAGAATAAGCTCTATACATACCCCCTGGTCTAAAATCATGTAGCATATGTATGTATAGCCTGGTCTAAAATCATGTAGCATATGTATGTACCCCCAGGTCAGGAAGCACATGTCATCTGTATGTACCACCTGGTCAGGAAGCACATGACATCTGTATGTACCCCCCTGGTCTAGAATCATGTAACATCTGTATGTACCCTGTGGTCAGGAAGCACATGACATCTGTATATGTACCCTCTGGTCAGGAAGCACATAACATCTGTATGTACCCTCTGGTCAGGAAGCACATAACATCTGTATGTACCCACTGGTCTAGAATCATGTAACATCTGTATGTACCCACTGGTCAGGAAGCACATAACATCTGTATGTACAACCTGGTCAGGAAGCACATAACATCTGTATGTACCCCCTGGTCAGGATGCACATGACATATGTATGTACCACCTGGTCAGGAAGCACATGACATGTGTATGTACCACCTGGTCAGGAAGCACATGACATATGTATGTACCACCTGGTCGGGAAGCACATGACATCTGTATGTACCCCCTGCTCAGGAAGCACATGATATCTGTATGTACCGCCTGGTCAGGAAGCACATGACATCTGTATGTACCCCCCTGGTCAGGAAGCACATGACATCTGTGTGTACCACCTGGTCAGGAAGCACATAACATCTGTATGTACCACCTGGTCAGGAAGCACATGACATCTCTATGTACCCCCCTGCTCAGGTAGGACATGACATCTAAATGTACCCCCTTGTCTAGAATCATGTAACATCTGTTTGTACCCTCTGGTCAGGAAGCACATGACATCTGTATGTACCCCCTGATCTAAAATCATGTAACATCTGTATGTACCCTCTGGTCAGGAAGCACATAACATCTGTATGTACAACCTGGTCAGGATGCACATAACATCTGTATGTACCACCTGGTCAGGAAGCACATGACATATGTATGTACCACCTGGTCAGGAAGCGCATGGCATCTGTATGTACCCTCTGGTCAGGAAGCACAGGACATCTATATGTACCCCCCTGGTCAGGACGCACATGGCATCTGTATATACCACCTGGTCAGGAAGCACATGACATCTGTATGTACCCCCTTGTCTAGAATCATGTAACATCTGTATGTACCCTGTGGTCAGGAAGCACATGACATCTGTATGTACCCCCTGATCTAAAATCATGTAACATCTGTATGTACCCTCTGGTCAGGAAGCACATAACATCTGTATGTACCCTCTGGTCAGGAAGCACATAACTTCTGTATGTACCCCCCTGGTCTAGAATCATGTAACATCTGTATGTACCCACTGGTCAGGAAGCACATAACATCTGTATGTACCACCTAGCAAGGAAGCACATAACATCTGTATGTACCCCCTGGTCAGGATGCACATGACATATGTATGTACCACCTGGTCAGGAAGCACATGACATATGTATGTACCACCTGGTCAGGAAGCACATGACATCTGTATGTACCCCCCTGGCCAGGAAGCACATGATATCTGTATGTACCCCCTGGTCAGGAAGCACATGGCATCTGTATGTACCCCCCTGGTCAGGAAGCACGTGCCATCTGTATGTACCACCTAGTCAGGAAGCACATGACATTTGTATGTACCCCCTGGTCAGGAAGCACATGACATCTGTATATACCCCCCTGCTCAGGTAGGACATGACATCTAAATGTACCCACTGGTCTAGAATCATGTAACATCTGTATGTACCCTCTGGTCAGGAAGCACATGACATCTGTATGTACCCCCTGATTTAAAATCATGTAACATCTGTATGTACCCTCTGGTCAGGAAGCACATAACATCTGTATGTACAACTTGGTCAGGATGCACATAACATCTGTATGTACCACCTGGTCAGGAAGCACATGACATATGTATGTACCACCTGGTCAGGAAGCGCATGGCATCTGTATGTACCACCTGGTCAGGAAGCACAGGACATCTATATGTACCCCCCTGGTCAGGACGCACATGGCATCTGTATATACCACCTGGTCAGGAAGCACATGACATCTGTATGTACCCCCTGGTCTAGAATCATGTAACATCTGTATGTACCCTGTGGTCAGGAAGCACATGACATCTGTATGTACCCCCTGATCTAAAATCATGTAACATCTGTATGTACCCTCTGGTCAGGAAGCACATAACATCTGTATGTACCCTCTGGTCAGGAAGCACATAACTTCTGTATGTACCCCCCTGGTCTAGAATCATGTAACATCTGTATGTACCCACTGGTCAGGAAGCACATAACATCTGTATGTACCACCTAGCCAGGAAGCACATAACATCTGTATGTACCCCCTGGTCAGGATGCACATGACATATGTATGTACCACCTGGTCAGGAAGCACATGACATATGTATGTACCACCTGGTCAGGAAGCACATGACATCTGTATGTACCCCCCTGGTCAGGAAGCACATGACATCTGTGTGTACCCCCTGGTCTAGAATCATGTAACATCTGTATGTACCACCTGGTCAGGAAGCACATGACATCTGTATGTACCCCCCTGGTCAGGAAGCACATGACATCTGTATGTACCCCCCTGCCCAGGAAGCACATGATATCTGTATGTACCCCCTGGTCAGGAAGCACATGGCATCTGTATGTACCCCCCTGGTCAGGAAGCACATGCCATCTGTATGTACCACCTAGTCAGGAAGCACATGACATTTGTATGTACCCCCTGGTCAGGAAGCACATGACATCTGTATATACCCCCCTGCTCAGGTAGGACATGACATCTAAATGTACCCACTGGTCTAGAATCATGTAACATCTGTATGTACCCTCTGGTCAGGAAGCACATGACATCTGTATGTACCCCCTGATTTAAAATCATGTAACATCTGTATGTACCCTCTGGTCAGGAAGCACATAACATCTGTATGTACCCCTTGGTCAGGAATCACATATCATCTGTATGTACCCACTGGTCAGGAAGCACATGACATCTGTATGTACCACCTGGTCAGGAAGCGCATGGCATCTGTATGTACCACCTGGTCAGGAAGCACATGACATCTGTATGTACCCCCTGGTCAGGAGCACGTAACATCTGGCATCTGGTCAGGAAGCACATAACATCTGTATGTCCCCCTGGTCTAGAACATGTACATCTGTATGTACCCCCTGGTCAGAAGCACATAACATCTGTATGTACCACCTGGTCAGGAAGCACATGACATCTGTATGTACCCCCTGGTCTAGAATCATGTAATCATCTGTATGTACCCACTGGTCAGGAAGCACATAACATCTGTATGTACAACCTGGTCAGGAAGCACATAACATCTCTATGTACCCCCTGGTCAGGAAGCACATGACATGTATGTACCACCTGGTCAGGAAGCACATAACATCTGTATGTACCACCTGGTCAGGAGCACATGACATCTGTATGTACCCCCCCTGCTCAGGAAGCACATGATATCTGTATGTACCCCCTGGTCAGGAAGCACATGCCATCTGTATGTACCCCCTGGTCAGGAAGCACATGCCATCTGTATGTACCCCCTGGTCAGGAAGCA